CTTTTGTATTTTGCTCTCCTTCTGGTTGATGTCCATTGGAGCAGCTTTGGGGAAGTTTGGAGTTTTTAGCAGCATTTTGTTGCCTTTTATTCTCATTTTTTTCTTTTGTTCCCTTTCTTTCTTCTGCCCCCTCCTTTGGAGCTGAGGGTTGAGAATCAGTTAGAATGAAAGACTTCATTGCTAGTTTGGAGATCGGCTCAGTCAGCATCTTTGCTCTGGCTGTTTTGTGTTACTCCCTTCTGCTCTGCTCAGTGATCCTTAGATCTGGTTGCTGCACAGCCAGGAGAGACTCCCTGCTGGTTATCTCCGCATCGCCAGATCCAGCCACAAGTCAGTCACGCGCGCTGACACTGTCCTAACACTGCCACCCGTTCGTCAGTGCCCTTGCAGACTGGACTGTGCAGGGCCGCCAGCAGGTGGCTGGGATGTGACAGGAGGGAGGAAGGAGGGAGAGGGAAAGAACGGAGTAAGTCAAGGAGAAGGGAAGGAAGAAGTATCCGTGGATGAAAGCAGATGGGGTCAGATTGGAATCATTTGTGGAGCTGCAGTGAGGGGCCGGTGTGGAGGGGCTGATGGAACGTGTGCAGAGCAGGAGAAGGGAGCAGAAGGAGGCAGCGTAACTGGAGGCTGAGGGGGGCTGTGAGAAGGTCAGAACCTGTTAGTGAGCTGTCTGCTAATCTTTGGATCCTCTGTACACAGTTCTCGTGGGGGTCGACCTGCCATGCCCACAGTTATGCTGGTCAATTTCTAGTGTCCTTTGCACATTCATACATATGAAACCTTTGCACAATATATATATGAGAAGAGAAGGGAGATAAATGGATAATAAAGAGAGCAAGAGAGACAAAAGAGAGGGGGAAAAACACAGAAACAAAAATCCAAACATCCATCACAGCACATGCAGCTGCAAACACACAGCATGAAAGCGTGACCACAGCCTGTTTATACTGCAGCCCGCTAGTGAGCCCTCCCCCACTCACACCTGTCACACCTGTGTAAGGTGGACCCCGGGCTTGGCTCTGCTGCTACCCCGCCCTTCTCCCACAGCGCTGCAGTCTCAGCGCCCTCTTCTCCTCACCTTCCCAATTCAGTGTCTGGCTTTGCAGATCCCCGAGCTGCTGCCCCTCTGATTGCCCCTCTGCCCTTCTGAGCCTGGAGGTCTGCTGACCTGGATTGGTCCCCAGAAGCCCCTCCTCACTGCAAGCCTCACTCCCCCCACCCCACCCCCCCTCGTGGTCCCCTCTAGGCTTTTGCCCTCAGACTCAACCCCCTCAGTGAATTCAAGGAGGGGAGGGTGAGGTAGCTTGGGTTTAGCACCAAGGTTCCTGATTCCCACCAAATTCCTCTCCCCGCAAAATCCGCAAAACCCGCAGCTGATTCTGCACTCCTGCTCCGCGGGCCGCGGCCCAGAGGCCACTCCCCATCTCTCACTGAGGTCCTTCTCCTTTCTCTCCCGCCGAGTGTCACCTTCCGACCAGGGAGCGCGGTGAAGACTCAGGCCCTGCCCTGTCCTCTCCCTGGCAGGCTGGAGGGGTCCCTCGTGGGCACGGAAGGCGGGTGGCGGTAGCGAGCAGGATGCCCGTGAGCACAGCATAGCCCCTGTTTGCGGGAGACCAGGTCCAGCTGGGCTCCTCTCTCCCTAGGGTCTCAGCTGTCACAGCCGCTGCCCGCTGGCCAAGCCCCCAGCCATGGTCTTCTCTGCGCTCGGGTCCTGATGCCTAACCAGGGCCCTTGCCTGCCTCAGCTTCCCCAGAGGCCGTCCTTGTCCTTCAAGCGATGGTCGCCAGCTTTCCGTTTTTCTGATGCCCTACCCTTCGAGTATCTCGCTCCCCGTGGTCCTCTTCCCGGTGGGAAGTAGAAATGTGGAGCCTTTTCCATGGCCTGGCCGCCACCGAGGTGCAGGCTCCCTCCCTCGGGGTGCGGGATCCTCTCCAAAGATGGTGTGTATGCTGGACCCGGGCGTGGGGATGCCGTGATCTGGGCACGGTCGAGCTTCCCCCTCTTAGCTCCCGGACGCTGGTCTGGGATCTGGTGAGTGTCTCCTTCTGTTTGTCTACCCGTATCCAACTTCCTTTGCGGCTCCCTTTCCAGGGTACCTGAATTTTTCTGATACAGTGTCTCAGAGGCGCTCTCTCACCACTGCCACCTAGCGGTCATGGAGGACTCTTACTAAAATGAACTCTACGCAGAATATCAAAGCATCTGCCACTGGAGTTAATTTTACTTCATCCTTTTCAATTTGGTTGCCTTTTTTCTTAATTGTTCTGCTTAAGACTTCCAGTTCTATGCTGGAGAAAAGTGTTGAAAATAAGCATCTTGCCATGTGCCTGATCTGTGAGGAGGAGCTTTCGGTCTTTCTGCTGGGTTTCTCAGGAATGGCTTCAATGTTTGGGTAGTCTCCTTCTATTCCTAGTTTGTATCATGAAAAGGTGTTGAATTTTGTCAAATGCTTTTTCTGCATCAATTGAGATCATGTATTGTTCTTTATTTTTAACATAATATCTAACACTGATCAACTTACATATGTGAAATTATCTTTGCTTTCCAGGGATAAATCCCACTTAGTCATGGTGAATAATCCTTTAATATTTCAACTTTGTTAGGTTTTTTTTTTTTTTTTTTTTTTTTTTTTTTTTTTTTACCCTTTTGAGGCAGGGTTTCACTATGCAGTTCAGCGTGGCCTTGAACTCACTTTGTAGCCTAGGCTGCCCTCAAATTCGCAGGGATCCTCCTGCCTCAGCTTTCCGAGTGCTGGAATTACAGGCATGCACCACCACGCCAGGCTAGTTTGTTAGTATTTTGCTGAGAATATTTTACGAATATTGATACTAAATGTTGACCTATAGTTTTGTTTTCGCATTGGCTTTGTATCAGGGTAATGCTGACCTTGTAGGAGAAGTGATTAACTATTCCTTCCTCTTTTTATTATGAAGGAAAGCCTGAGAAAAGTTACCATTCGCTCTTTAAATGTTGGCAGAATTCACACATTAAACTGGCAGGTCCAGGGCTTTTGCCTGGTGATTTTAAATTACTGATTTATCCTCACTAGCTATAGGTCTATTCACATGTGCATTTCTTTGTGATGTAGTCTTGGCAGGTTTTATATTTCCATGAATTTGCCCAATTCATCTAGGTCAGTGGTGGCGAACCCATGGCATGCGTGCTGCATCACTCAAAGCTCTAAAAGGTGATCCAACGTGCTGACATGATTGTCATGGCATCTTACACTGTTTCTATAGAAGTGGTAGTAATGCCTCCTCTCACATCTGATTTTATTGTTTCCTTACTCCATCTATAGGTTTATCAATTTCACTGCTTTTCAAAGAACTTGGTTGCAATTATCTTCTCGACCTTTTTTTTCTTCTCCCTGTCCTAATCTTATTTCAGTTCCTTAATTTGTAAAGCTGTTTGAGATCTTCTTGCTGTACACATTTATAAGTGTAAATTTCCTTGCTGGTACTGCTTTCACTGCATCTCATAAATTTTGGCATTTTTTGCTTTTATTCATCTCCAAGTATTTTCTAATTTCCTTGTGACTTCTTCTTTGATCCACTGGTTAAAGCTGTGTTAGGGCCAGTGATATAGCTCAGTGTTACAAGCACCTGCCTGGCTAAGCACAAGGTCTCGAGTTCCATTCCTGGTACACAAAAAAAAAAAAAAAAAAACACAATTAGGAAAGCTGTGTTAATTTCCACAAATCTGCATTCTAGCTTTACTGATATCTAAAATTACCCCATTGAGGTCAGGCAAAATACTTTGTTGTCAATCTATGGAGACTTAAATTTGCGGCCTACCATATAATCTATCCTGGAAAAAGTTCCACAACTTAGCACTATGTTTGTACAAAGTAAAAGCTCAATACATGTCTGAGCAGTCCGTTCCTGGCCTCTGATGAAAGGGAGGTGTGAGGCCTCTGTGACCCTGCTAAACACCTTAGCCATTCACCTGCTTTCCCAGTTGAAAATCACAACTCCTGGCTCACGGCATTGCTGTGAGAACCAGCTTAGGGTGAGACCATATGTGGTACGCACCCTCCTGGCTCAGAGCAAGGACTCCGCAAATGCTGGTTCTTTCTTCCTCCTTTCTTTCTCTTTCTTTTCTGTCTTTCTTGTTCCTCTTCTTTCTGTTTTTCTTGCTCCTTATTCTACAAGCCCAGAGCCTCTCCTAAAATCACACTGAAATGAACGCTGCTCCCCTCACCCAAGGCTTCTGGAAGGCCAAAGGCATCTCTGCTGCGGTGAGATGGCTTGGATCTGGGTCTGCTGGCTGGCTTTGCTGCTGTTGGTGGCTGGGCAATCTGTCCATCAGAGGCCTTGACTCCGCCCTCTCCGTTCCTCCGTCTTGAGACACTGCCCTTAAGGGCCGAGCATAATTCTCTTTGCTTTGGTGTCTGAGCCACATTTTCACCACTGGGACTTGATACCCAATATCCAAACTTAAGGAAGGAGAGGTTTTCTTTGGCTCCTATTTCAGGAATCTCAGTCCATGTCTGGCAGGCTTAAACACACAGGGACAGCATGGCGAAGGCCTGTGCGGAGGAAAGCTGTCCAGGTCGTGGTGGCCAGGGACCAGAGAGGAGGGGAGGGCAAGGGAGGCAGAAAACACTTCCTGGTCAGGCTGCCAACAACCCACCTCCTCCAGCCAGACCCCACCTCCTACAGTCAGCTGTGCCAACCCATAGTCCAATCACCTTCCAGCAGCCCAACCCATAAACAGGTGAGGATCTGGGGGGCATCTAGATATAAACCATAACACACTGGAAGGAGCTCCTGAACCTACAACTGTACTGAAACGCCCCAACCCCTCCCTTTCTATCCTCCTAGACTGTCAGAAGTGGTCCCCAGTTCTCATCCGGAACTGATCAAAGCAGACCAAAGCCCCAGGCACCTTGGTATAACTTTATTCACAAACTGCAGACCCAGGCCAGAGCATATGTGCTTGCCAGTGGAAAATCAAATACAGAAACAAACACCACAAACAAAAAACCTCCACACAGCGTGTTCGTTAATACTAACCGTTTTAATTTAAATTAATACCATCTCAGGAAGACAAACGCAATTGATAGAAAATATAAAAACTTTTACTGTACAAATTTTACATCACATTCAAAAAAGCAAAATGTGTGCCTCGTGGCCACAGAAGACGCTCGGTGTGCACACACAGGTGACGTCCCAGCCAGTGCTGCAGTGTGGCAGGGGCCTCCCTCGCTGTCACCCCTAAGTCGCTGCAGCAGGACACAGGCTCACAGGACCCGCCACACCCTGCTGAGGGCACGGGAACAAAGTGTTCTGATTTGGTGGCATGGAGAGGTCAAATTGCTAATACACTGCTCATAATGAACCCAGGACGAGCTAGGATTCAAGCCTTCAAGTCACACAGAAGCCCGGGACTGCAGCCCTGGTGGTTAAAGGCCTTGGGGTGAGGTTGAGAACTGGGGGTGCCTGCAAGGGCTAAACCGCAGACTACACCCTGAGAGCCCAGGCGGGACGTCTGCAGCCCCCGTCTCCTCCCTCCCCTTCACAGTGCGTCGTGAGGGCTGAATTCACAGTATCTGTCCTTCATGTGTTCCAAGGTGGACAGACAGAGCACAGAGAAGGGCAAGCACATCCTCCTAACCTCAATTCACAGTCACTTAAGCAAAGACGGGGGCGGGGAACTACCATGGGACCTTCTTAAACGACAGGCAATGCAGAAGTGGCCAGCTGGGAACAGGCCTTGGAGAGGGCAGGGGAAGGGACCCAGGACCCTGGCCCCTCCTGGAGCCCACCGGTTCCCGGCCGGATTCAGCCCTGGGCAAATGATCACTTCCTAAGGCAGGGACTTCGCTGGTCCTGTATCTGGGGCCCCAGCACTTGCGCAGGGCCATGGACACAGCAGGCGATCAGTGGGGACGTCGAGACCCAGAGTGACCTCCTGCGGCCTGGGGTCAGAGGATGGGGAGGTGAGCCTGATTTGCTCAGCTGCAACCATCTGGCAGGGAAGGCCAGTGTCACAACAGGGAGGTGAAAGGCTGGAGTCACATGCACGGCCACCTCCGCAAAGGGACAGGGATGAGACACAGCTACAGAGGAAATGGTCACATCCCACAGGGCTCTGGGGGGGGGGGGGTCACTCTGGGGAGGTCATGTGGGAGACCGAAGGGATCACGGGGTTGAACGACCGTCCTCCCACAGAAGTCCCCCACACAGAGCTGCCCCCAAAGGGTTCACAGCTCTCCTTTCTTCTCCCCACAGGGACTGGAAAGGCTGTGAAGCTCCTGACCCGCGGGCTGGCTGTGCTCACGCAGGGCCGGCAGGGAGTGAGGCTGTGCTGGGCGTGGAGAGCAGAGAGGCAGGTCCGCAGCTTCTCGTCGGAGTGGCTCACTTTCTGTGACTCTGGTGCTAGGAGAGGCTCTGGAGGTGCGGGATTTGCCAGGTGGCTCTAACTGTAAGGGGTGCCAGCCACACGGCCACCCCCATCTCAGCTCGGAGCACAGGGCCGGGATCCAGTAACACGTCCTCTCCCATCGCTCTTTCCTTGCTGGTTGTGGGGACTCCTGTGGCCTCACCTCCACCAGCGGGCTTCGGGGAGGATGGGTAGGACGCTCTCACGTCAAAGACTCTCTGGAGCCAGCCCTTCCCACTGGTCTGACACAAGCAGAAGGCCTGGCGCTGCTGGGAAGGGCTCTGCAGACAAGGGTTTGGGGGTGGGAGTGACAAGGTGAGGCAGTCCCATGCCCCCAGCTGAGCTTAGAACCCGGACTGAGGAATCGGGAAGGGGCAAAAGGTTTCACTAGGGCTGGGGGGGTGGGCAATTCTAGAACTCTCTACCATGACGGACAATGGGTTTCTAAAGTGCCAGGACAGGGGCTCGGGGACTTGCTGTCCACTTCTCCTTCCGTCTCTCCCTCCACCATCTTCCCTGTTTTCCCTTATTAAGCCCTAAGGTGCCCTCAGCTAGGGCTCAGACGATGGGCACTGGGATGTGCCTCAAAACAAAGGCCCTGGCTGCCAGGATCTGCCCAGGGCTTCACACAAGAAGCACTAGCTCAAGGGTATCGCCTCACCTGGCAACAGAAACCATGCCTAGGACCACTAGATCTGTCCAGGTATTAACTGGATTCTGTCTCTACTTTCCCAGTGGGCACAGTCTGGACTAAAGGGGCTGGAAGGTGAAGCCAAGCTCTCCAGGAAGCTCTTGTCCCTTGTAACCTGCCTCAATTCCTAGCCAGGGTTTTCTCTGCTAGACGGGGAAGGGACAGTGTACCACCCCTGGGGGTTAGGGCCAAAGAAGGAGCCGGGTCAAACCTTGTACCCCCACCTCTTTCCACCCTACTTGTAACCCAGCCATAACCACAATGTCTTCCTTCCTTTGGCCACTGGCACTGAGCTCCCCAGTGCTACCAAATCCTCCAGAGGGGACAGCCACTTCTGCCATCCAGGTGCCAGCGCCTTCATACACGGACTACATTATTACCTATTGTAAAACATCGAGTTCGCTTGGCAGAAACACACGTGTAAACATTTGCTGTCAGTTGGGACCAGCCTGGTTGTTGCTGGGCTCTTACTAAGACAGCAGGAGCAGTTCCATCTCCAGGGACCCTTGTGTCTTCGTGACGGACAGTCGGAATGGGGGACTCGCCCTCCTGGTTTGCAGCGTTGGACAGATGGAGTGGTTTCTCCTTTTGCTGTTGTTGTGACGGTGGTGTGTGTGTTTTACAAACACACTTAAAAAAGAAATGGGCAGCAGAACAATTGCACAGCTGGCTACATCTTTGGGTTACCGGACTCCAGGGCACCGAGGCCGAACCTCTCAAAGCGGGGTACAACTTTGCTGCTGTTAATGCTGCAAAGGGGAACAAAATCCGGGGTTATGGCTCTGTTGGTCTTGACAGTCAAGGGGACCCGGCCCACACCAAGGAGTGACAATGATTGCTCAGCCCACAGCCTTCGCAGAGCAGCCCTGGGTCATCCTGAGTCCTCAGCCTTGGCCCCCCTCCCCGCTCCTGGGGGACAGGGACATGGCTCCTTCACATCTGACTCCCAGGACACAGGATACACCATTAAGTGTTGTAGGCTCACGGGAACCGTTTCCTTGGTGCCAGCCGTGGCACAACCTTGCTCTGTGCGGTGCTTGGGGGAAGAGAAACCTGAGCCCCAACACCAGGCATAACGGTGCATGCTCCTTTTAGAAATGGTGCTCAGCTGGACCTGCCGGTGCGTGCCTGTAATTCCAGCTGCTCAGGAAGCTGGGGCAGGAGGACCAAAATCTGAGGCCAGCCCGAGTAATTTAGTGAGCTCTGTCTCAAAGTAAAGAATAAAAAAGGCTGGGAATGCAGCTCAGGGATAGAGCATCCGTGGGTTCAATCTCCAGTACCACCAAGGGCCAAAAAAAAAAGTGACAAGAGATAGTGCTCAAGCATCAGGCCCAGCAGGAGGCTACCTGGGAGTGGGCGAGGTGTGACTTTTGGGCCAGATTCCAGAGATCTGGAGTCAGGACAATTGGAGAGGGGGCAGGGATCTGCACTCAGCAGCGTGATGACCTAAGAGCTCACCAACTCCGCCACTGGAACACTGACCTGACCCTTACAGAGCCAGGGCAGATGCAAAGGGAAGAACGCGGCAGGCGGGGCAGGGCTGGGGCAGCAGCTGTGTTTCCATTACTGAAGCTTGGCAACAGGCACCACTCGGAACGAGGCCGACTTTACCGGGTGTGCCGCTGAGGACAAAGCCCTCAGCTGGTGCCTTTCACAGCAACAGGACCTTTGAGTCTACTGCCAAAACCTACAGGAGAGCCAGAGACAGGAACCCAGAGAGGGCTCCTGGGACCACAGTGCTGGCCGCAAAGCAGCTGGGCAACCTTTCCACTCCTTGCAGGACAAGGTCCCCTTGAGTTAGAGGGGTTAGAAGCCACACACCCCTCCCCCGTTCTCAGAACACCATCAGCAGGAAGCTGTTAAGGTATTAGTAGTAGACAGGGCCACCCCGTCATCGCATGTAAGCCACAGCATCCCTCAGAAGAGCCAGAGAGAAAGAGGAGTCACATCTAGGAAGGTTGCCGGAAGCTGTGCAGCATTGCGGGGGAGCCTGGCTAGTGCGACCCTCCGCCACCAGAAGTTACTTGGGCACGCGCAGGCCACGTGGAGGGGGCAGGAGGCTGGTTTAAAACAGAGCACAAGAAGTCTGGAGAGAGAAGAATGAAGCAGCAGAGACGGCATCCCCTGGGTTAGTGCCTACTTGGCATTTTGCATCTTAGCGGAAGTCGCAGAGCCGAGTTGTCAGTTAGGAGGCAGAGGCTCCTGGCGCATGCAAAGCAGCCAGGCTACAACCTACAAAGGACAGAGAAGAAGCAAGAGCAGCATCAGAGGCCGAGCCCATAGGGGACCCACAGCCCACAGGCCTGGCCAGGGCTGCTGGACAGGAAAATGCCCAACTTCATCCCCCCAGGGCAGCACCCAGGCAAGCCTGGAAGGCAGTCTGAGTACAAGGAGCCTTCTTCAAGGTCCTGCAGGCACAGCGAGCCGCTTCCACAGAAGCTGGCTGGCGGCCCACAGCTGCTTAGCTCTTGACTGTCAACACTGACTTCTTGGAGTTTCCCACCTCAGCTCACTGGATTCTCTTCTTTTGAGCTCTACCCAGAGGGGACTCTGGGCACATGACAAGCCGCCTGAGCACCCATGGCGTGGACGGAGGCCAGCAACACGCCATGGGTCTCTCCTACCCACTGAGAGAGACACGAGCCCACATGGCCCTTGCTGGTGGCACTTCTGCTGCAGGACGTCACTCTGGGTTACCGGGATAAAGCTGGATGGTTATGAGGAGCTGGGATGCGGAGACAGAACAGGAAGTGGGTGTGCAACAGGACAGCCACACACAGGCAGGGCAGAAGAGACATGAGAGAAACACACTATTCCTCCAGAACCGGACAGGAGTTCTTAAAGTCAGGGTGACCGTAACGTCCTTTCCCGTAGTAGCGGCTCCGCCAGCGACTGTGAGCGCCCCAACAGGGCCGTTCCGACAGGAGCAGGGAGAGTGCAGTCCAGCCATCAGCCAACAGGTGACAGCAGCCAGGCAGTGGACAGGTAGAGGAGTCAGGGAGGAGGGACAGGAGGAGATGACAGGGCGGCCAGCGTATCCACCAGCCACCCCCAAAATAAAAAAGCAACAAAGCCAATGGGAAAGAAAAAAAATGAGAATTAGAGCCTGAGAGTGCAGAAAGTGGAAACTACGAGCAGAAAGCCTGGACATAGATTCATTCAGATCTGCTGCATCTTCCCTTTAAGGGGCAAGAGCTGAGGATTTGAGCCGGGAAGAGCTCCCATTTGGATGAGATCAAGTGCGTTCGGGACAGTATGGTTGCAGACAACAGCTCCCATTTGAGACTCAGTTTCCTGTCTGTGATACGAGGAGATCAGGCTGTTGGGTCTTCTGGAGAAAGGGCTCATGCCCTGCCCTCATGCCCACGAGGGCAGCCTTTCTTTGACAGCGGGGAGGCTGAAGCCCAGGATGTACAGAGCAGCCCCAGGTCTGTAGCGGTAGCTCAGAACACGGTCTTGCTGCCCCACAGTCCCCGCCTGGTGCTGCTCAGGGAACCCCACGCTCCATCCCGGCTGGGATGGCTTCTCTTCCATCCCCGCTCTGATCACCGTCCTCCAGAGACCCTTCCTTCAGTCTTCAGGTGGGGAGGCCCTCACCGGGGCTGCTGCAGGGCTCTACCCTCCCTCGCAGCACCCAGCATGCCAGGATCATTCACTCATTCATTCAGGCACCTGTCAAATATTTGTTCCCCACCTACTCTGTTCCTGGAACTGTGCTAGGAGCTGGGGATAGAGAGGTGACAAGACAGAGATGTGCTGGGCAGAGGGTGTGTTGCCCTGTGTCTGCCTGACTTTATCCTGATTAGATTGCGTGCTCCATGCTAGGAGAGGCTAACCTCGGCCATCAGTCATTCACCTTCATCTGACCAGGCTGAGCTACTCTAATCTGGAAACAAATGCTCCAAAGGCTGCAACTCTCCTGAGGTCCACCATGGGTTAAGGATGCTCAAACTGCAAAGTTGATGCAAACATTCCCACATCTGAGAAAAACTGGTGCTTTTGTTCCCATGCATTTCAGATAAGGGCCACTCAATTTGTACAAGATATTCTCACCCACCCTAAGAGCCAAAGTTGAAGCTCACATAAACAATAAGACAGCATCCCCGAGCCCCAGAGGGCTGTCCCTCCAGACCGCCCCTGAGCAGCACAATGAACTAAGTTTTCTCAGGGACTTCTGCATGCATCCTGTTCGGGCGACTCATGCTAGGCCTCCCTGCACCTGCAGCATAGGGCCCAGCTTGGTTCTTCCTCAGGAAAGGGCCTCGCACTCTATGGGCAAGCCGAATGTGGCCACCAGCTATGAGCTCCACGCATGCACATCTGAAGAATGATTTTTACCTGTCTACATGGCTGGGTAAGGGAACAAAGCTAAAGGCCCCAGAGCCTCACAAAAGCTCACAGCAGGACAGAGATGTTTCTGAGTATTCTGGAATAGGTGGCCAGAGGGACAAAGAAGAAAGAGAACAAGGCAGTGCAGGAGAGAAGACAGCGGCTTCTGCTGCCCATGGAGACCCCTCCCTGCCATGCCATGGGGCAAAGGGTCCTGTGAAGACACAGAGAAAGGCTTCTGGCATCCAAGCACCACATAAAGACGAGGAATGTCTTTACCCGTAAAAGGTGGCCGGCTTTTTGTGCTAAACAGCTCAGGGTCTGAGTCAGAGCCGTTTTAAACAACACTGGCTCTGCTTGTTGTAGGAGTTTCTTGGTATCCACATGGCTATGACCTCCACCCCACCCATCTTGCCCCGCCCAGAGGAAAACCTTCTCGCCTTGGCCTTGCCTAGGTCTGGCATCAGCACTGGTCTGATAACAGTGACATGCAGACTTTCACAGATGTGAGCCAAAGGTGCTCACCTGTCTCCAATATAAGCTCAATAAATAAAACCCTGGCTTCAGTATGTGTACTTTCCAGACCAAAGTCTGGGGCAGACACAGCACAAGGTCCCCTCTAAGACCATAGGGGAGGCAGTTCATTGAGGAGTTACTTACTCAGCTGACTTCCAGAAGTGCCCGGGGTGGGAGAGCCGCCGGTTCAGCTTGGGTAGCTTCTCCAGCATGTCCATTAGCAGGCTGAAGCTGGGTCTCTCCTGCAGGTCGAAAGCCCAGCAGGCAGACAGGATCTCCTGCAAAAGGAACTGCCATTAGCGGTGTGTGTGCTGGCTGGGAAGGAGGGCAGGGCTGGGGCACCCACAAAGCACCCTGTTGTGTTCTCAAGTGCCCTGGCTGGTGGTGCCCTGAAGACCCCGCCAATATGAAAGAGCTTCTATGCTTCCAGGTCACGATGAAATGCACAAGCTTCCAGCTCCCCTCCTTCCTCCTGATACCCTTTCTCCCCTGAAATAACAGCAGCCAACATCAACAGACTAATAATGGAAAAGAGGTCAGGCATGGCAGTGGTTGGCTTCTGGAAGATGGAAGGTGGAAGGTACCGGCTCCACAGGTCCTCAGGATATGCAGCGGGTGGGGCTGCAATGGAGGTGAGAGCCTCGGTTTGACCATATAGAGGATGGAGAGATAAGGAGGGACAGGCAGGGCCCAGGAGAACAGCTGTCCCAATGGCCACCCTCAGTGGCTAAGGGCTGAGCCTCACACACACAGTGAGACTCAGCAATGCAAGTTTTTGTTCCTAAATATAACAGGGTTGATATCAGACTGGATCAACCACCCCCCTCCGCCACATGGGCTGCCTGCTCAGTCAGGAAACCTGGAGAGATCCAAGATGTATCAGATCAAAACCCAACCTCCAGAGGACAGTTTGTGCACACATGCGTATACGTACATGTAAGCAGCTACTCTACAAAACGAGACCAGGGTGCGCTAAAAACTAAATGACTAAAGAAAGAAAGTACTTCCAATTGAAAATAAAATTTTTGAACCAAACATGAGGAGTGCTGGACAAAATAATCAAGGATGCTCCCCAGATTAGAGACCCATTGAGATAGGGATGAAAAATAGAAAAGAAGGCAAAACACTCAGTGAGAAGAACCAAATTCTCACAAATGGGACTTCTGACAACAGAAAAATAAGAAATAGGCCAGGGAATTATTGAAGAGCGAATCAATTTCTCCCAGAGATTTTCAAAAGAAATGGCTGAGGAGACCCAATGGTGGGAGCTGACTAAAAAAGAAACAGCCCACACTCAGATATATTTTCATCAAATTTCATTACAGCAAGGACAAAGAAAAGATCCCAGATGCTTCCAGTAAGGCATCTACAAAGGTTCAGAATGAGACCATCACCAGATTTCTTAACAATGTACTTGATCATTAGTAGACACCAGAGAAAAACTTTTGTGTTCTAAACGGAAAATAATTTTGAACCTACAAAGCTGTTCCTGGTGTGACACAGAACAAGGACATTTCGGATGTGCAAACGTTCTATCTCTCATGTATCCACTGGGGAGCAGGTTCCTTCAGTTTTACTCTTATTTTGCAAGCGTGAAAACAAAGAGCGGGAAAGGTATGCAATACAGGAACAGTGCGATTGACCCGGGAATGAATAGAAAGGAAATAAAAGGCTAACACTGTGCCGCTAGCTCAGATGATCCGAAGTGAGTGGGCCTGAAAAGTATGGAACAGACTCCATTCAATAAGCAGAAGGCAGAGGGAGCTACAAGACCTCAGGAATATGGTAAAGGTGTTTGTTTCTCCTCTCAAGAATGCAAACACACGGCACATGCCCGGAATCCCAGCCCCTGGGGCAGCTGCTGTGAAGCCCCGGAGCAACATGGGCAACATAGTAACAACCCATCTCCAAAAGGCGGGAAGAAGGGGTGATGAGGAACTACAGGAAAAATCTAAAACTGTGGGAGAAAGCCAGGGTCTCAATGTGAAGACAACAAAACCATGAACCTGTGAGAACTGAGAAAATGGAAGAGGAGACTCACAAAGAAGAAAATGTGACCCTGGCAAACTAGTTCTCCGGGGAGAACGGCACGCATCGGCCCTCCTGACGCCACTCGCGCTGTTTCTAGTCTCACCTTCGGCCTCAGTCCACGGGTGCAGCACAGGAGATTTAATCACAGAAACACAAAGCCAACATTAACGATCGGCCAGTAAAGGAAAGCTGGCCCAGGCTCTGCGGCCAAGGGAAGAGGGCGCCGGGGTGAAAAGCTGATGGAACACAAGGCTGGAGCCTTTGGACAGCGACCTGAGGACCGGGCTGCTGCTTTTCACTAAGAATCTCTTCTGTCTTCCCACGCACATGGACGGACTCGTAGGGAAGGTGACAAACTCACCGCTGACCCTGCATTTGAGGCAGAGCCTGGTGTGAGCGCCACAGCGGCGTGGCTTGAGGGAGAAGAAAGGGGCCGCTCGGAGGGCCATCCCCACCTGGGCTAAGAGTCACAATCATCTTTTATTGCATTTGTAAAAAACAGAGGGAAAAAAGAAGATGAGACTCTGCAGGCACACAATGCTGAGCAGAAGCTGGCGCTGGTGCGTTTTCTGTCTCTGCTTCCTCATTCTTCCTGGCCTCAATTTATTCTTAAAAGGCTTCCACACTCTTCTTTATAAGAAATCCCTGCGGTTACTTCCGGCATCTGCAGAGGGCTTATTTAAAATGATGTCAGACCAGGTCTACTGCGCTCCACAGCGGAACCCGTCGCGGGGTTGAAGTGCAAAATACTCGAGCAGGTTCACTCTCCAGGAATGCCACCACAGACCCGCCTGCGGCTGCGATCCTGCACTAAGAGAGACCTTCCCAATTAGATCTGGACCCTGGCTGTGTTCTGGAATTGTCTGAGGAGCTTTATTTAAATATAAAACACCTCAGAAAAAGAACTATAGCCTTAGTCTGATCTTAGGTCAATTAAATTGATATTCCTGGGAGGCTGACCCAGGTCTTAAGTAATTAATTATTTAGATGTACTAGATATGGAACCTAGGGATGTTCTCCATCCCAGCCAGTCCTCCTTTATTCTTTATTTTGAGACAGGCTCTCACTCAGTTGCCCAGGCGGATTTGACCTTAGGATTCTTCTGCCTGAGCCTTCTGAGTAGCTGGGACTACAGCTGTGCACCGCCACACCTGGCAGCCCCGGTATTTCTGAACAGCTCTGGGAGGATTCTAACGTGCAACACAGCACCGAGCCCTGACTCCCTGCAGCCCTCCGACCAGCGCTGCTCTGCTCCAGGTCTCCCCCTCCCTGAGGACGGCGCTCAATGCTCTGCGCCAAGATGCCAGTGCACAGAAAGGAACTGAGGCTGCTGCAGGAAAACTGAGGGAGGATATTTTTTCTTTCAAAAAACATATATATTCTCTCTTTTGTACAAAGGTATCTATACAAAGAGGTCCTTAATTGTGTCACTGTAGATGTAAAAATTGGAAATAACCTAAATACCCAGTGACACAAGGAATTACATTACAGTGCAGCCACAGGACAGAAGGGCAGGTAATAAAGATTTGTTAAAAACTCGAGATAATAAAGTGCTATGTGGAAAAACGTTAGGACACAAAAAAACCTACAGGTCATTATTGTGATTTTCTTCAAGATACATATTTTTAAAAGACTAGAAGGCACGGGGCATGGTGGCACACACCTGTGATTCCAGCATTCAGGAGGCTGAGGCAGGAGGATGGCTGTGAGTTCAAGGCCACCCTGGGGCACATAGTGAATTCCAGACCAGCCTGAACTGCATAGCAAGACCCTGTCTCAAAAAAAAAAAAAAAAAGACTAGAAGGCAAGCTAGGTATTGTGGTGCCTGCCTGTAATTGCAGCATTCAGGAGGCTGAGGCAGGAGGAGTGGTGCAGGTTTGAAGCCAGTCTTGGGTTACGTAGTAATTTAATGACCAGCATGCACTATCAGAACAAACAAACGAACAAACATGGGAATGTAGCCAAGCATGGTGGCACAAGCTTGTAATCCCAGCACTCCAATAGGCTAAACCAGGAGAACTGCAAGTCTGAGCACAGCCGGCAACTTGGTGAGACCCTGTCTGAAAACAGAATTTGAAAGGTAGGCTGGGCGTTTAGCTCAGAATGAAGGCTCTGGGTTCAATCGCCAGTACTGACCAAAAAAACCCCAAAAAAGACTGGAAGGCAGTAGCCGTCCATGCTGCCAGCTGAGCTGCCAGAGCCAGGCCACAGCAGGAGCCCAACCCGGACCTTGGCCCAGCATTTCTCCCCTAAGACGCCAGGAGCACGTCCTGGGGAAGGTGCTGTCCGCTGACCCTGGCTCCATCAGGGAGGCGCTCGTCACTCCACCTGCCCAACAGCCCCGCTGCAGGGGTATCAACTGACCGAGAAGTCTAGTGTGGAGTTGCATACTAGCCCTCGGCATCACTCTTGGAAAATACTTGGCACTTCAACCTGACGACAAATGTGACTGTGAAATACAGTAGATCAAAACAGTGTCATTTGGGTGCGGGGAGGAGTTTTTTGTCTTTTTGAGACAGGATCTCCCTATGCAGTTCAGGCTGACCTTGAACTAACTTTGTGGCCTAGGCTGGCCTTGAACTCACAATGATCCTCCTGCCTCAGCCTCCCAACTGCTGAGATTACAGGCGTGTGCCACCACACCTGGCTTTACAGTACCATTTCAAATGAGCCCTATCGGATGCCTTAGCTGCCTGCTACCAGTCATCACTGCGTCCTGTCCGGTGTATAGATGGTGATGCTGCCCACGGGGGTCATGACTCTGACAAGAAACTCGCAGTCTATTCAGATTTGACTCCGGCAGTCTATTTAGATTTAAAGCGGGAAGGGCCGAGCGCTCCCTCTGTGAAGCTCTTCTCTGTGAAGCTGCCCAGGACCTGTGTGGTCACTCAGGACGAGGCTGTGTGCGGTCCCACCGAACACACGGGCGCCCGGTCATCACGATCACCCCGGAAACGCTGAGTCAGGGCTTCCTGACAGATGACTGCGCCAAGACAGGGAAACGCCCCAAGGAAAACGTCACAGCAACGCGACGCAGAAACAAACCGTGAAAGGAAACCACCCAGAAACGAGAGCGCAACAGCCGTAATTCAGATTCAGCACTGTGGAACGAGTTCCTTGTGGGAACCTTGACCTGTTTTTGAATAGTCGTGAAAAACACGGAGAAAAGACTTGTACCACAGCATGACCTCACCGCTCCTGTTCTGATGAGGGATTTTTCAAACCTTCGGGCGTGTCGGTGCTGCATAAGGCTTTATTCTGTCCTCATCTCACACATCCGTTAAAATCATTATCGTAAGAAGGAAATCAAGACAAAAGGCGACAGTGCAGTGATCCCGGTGGTTTTTATTTTCTTCCCTCTGCCTCCCTGCTTTGCCCATTTCCCATAAACACATGTTGTTTTCAATATCAAGCGCGACACTGCCCGGGGCAGAGCCTTCAATGGTGGCAGAGCCCAGGCAGCAGATGAAGGGCAGCCGTGCCGTGTGCCCAGCCTCCCCACCCTACCTCCCCCAAGAGCAGGTGCTACTCACGCTGACTTCCTTCCCCAGGCTGACGGAGGCCAGGACCCGCTTCATTCCTTCCCCACTGCCGACCTGCCAGATCAAGGCCTCTGCAGGCTGGTGCTTAAAGGGCCAGTCTCTTGCTTGTAGCTCATACCACACAGTCCTGTGGAGAAATGGCATGAGCTGCTGGGCTGCAGGGCCCCATCCATGCCCGGGGGCTCTGAGGACTTGGGTCTGTCCCAGCCTTCCCTCCCCATCTGCAGGGGATGCTGTGATGGGACCTGAGAGACCCTGCCTGGGCCCCTAGGGACCTGGGCCCTGCGCACCTGCTTCCACTGTGGTGAGTAGCCTAGGTACGGACAGAACACTGGGCTTGTTCCAGTCTAAGCCTGACCCCAGCTCTGCCACCTCCGAGCTATAAGGCTGTGGTACCACTGCTCAACCTCAGTAGGCTAAGGCCTGTCGTGAGGCTGTGGGAGGAGGAGCTAAAATGCCACACCCAGGGCAGGGCACACCTCATGCTTCGGCAATGACACAGTTAAAGGTCAGGGAGGTCAGGGAGGAAGAGACGGCACTCAGGCCACAGCAGGGGAAGGCACCCGAGAGAGGACAGGGTGACTGCGAGGGAGCCTTCCTCAGCCACTCCAATCCCCTTAGCTTCCTGAATGCACTGGGATGGGGACCCGCTAATCAGACTCGCACTATCCAATGTAGGGAGCCCGTGCTGCATGAGGCTCCTGAGCCACTACAGTGTGGAGAGCTGACGGAAGCGTGCTGCACATACAGAGCAAGCACCAGGCTGTGAGGACTTAGTAGTAGGAAAATGCATAGAAACTATCTCACTGCTTTTTTTATTCACTGCATACTGAAATGATACTTGAGATGTGCTGAGTTTAATAAACTGTTGAAACTATTTCACTTGTTTCCTTTTTAATGTGGTGACTGTCACACCTGCAAGGATAGATCTGGTTTGCACTGTATTTCTCTGAGTCAGCAACCCAGCATGCATGGGCGCTAGAGGCTGGCTGGCAGGATGCCCAGGCGTCCCAGAGAGGGAGGGACAGTCATTGGTTGCCTCTGGCGAGTGTCCCAGCAGATGAGTGGGTGAGACTGACAACCAGCACTTACACCATGACCTAATTTAGTCCTCATGAAACAACTGTCTTGGAGGTGCTATTATCTTGGAGACAGGAGGTCAAGGACGTGGTCACTCAGTCAACAAGCGGTAGTGCTCTGACTCAAAACCAGCTTTGTTCCTACTCCAAAGCCCAGGCTCTATGCAGCTCGGCGGACACCTCCCCTGCTTCCAATAGCTACCAGGGCCCTCTCTGGGGGGCACCCCTGGGCTCCAAGCACCAGGAGCCTGCTTACCCAAATGCATAGACATCCGCAGCTTTGGAGAAGGGCAGCTGGTCCTCGTCCTTCCCAGGGGTCATCTCTCGCACAATCTCAGGGGCCAGGTAGCACAGCCAGTCATGTGACAGCTTCAGCTGGTTCTCACGCCTGGGGGCGGGACAGGAACGCAGCCCCTCAGCGGGACTCCCTGGTACCCATCTGCCCTCCGGCGAGGAAACCACCCACACAGTGCAGGTAAAACACCCGAGTGCAGCACACTGATCCTGGCCTGGCTCAGGCACGAGTGCTTCTAGGGGCCGCCACAGAAGACATTGCCAAGCTCTTCCAGGGAAGCGGCCAACGACAGGCGTGGGCTGGCTGCAGTGCCTGGCTCTCTGCTGGGCCTGGGCATCTGTCCAGGAAACCAGGCCTGTGCTCTCACATCTGCCAGGGGAGTCTCCACCTGGCTGCCGCTCTTCCTCTGGGAGCTCCCCGAATGCTCAAGAAGGAGCCTTTCTCCCCGCCCCTTTAAGGATGGAGGAAATAAAAGCTGGACCCACTCCCTCATCCTGCAGATGAGGCCTGGACCCTCACCCATATTGCTGAGCAGCCGGGTCCAAAATGAGCTGGATCCCAGGCTCCATGGGGCTCAACCTGAGAGTCACATGCCACAAGAGACTGAAATACCACCCAGGCCCGATTCTGGACCAGAACCAGAAGGGCAAGCTCAGAGCTCCCTGGCCCTCCCTGCAGGAAGGTCTGCTTCTTGGTAGCACAGCCAGAGTACCAGGACCCTGAGCAAGCCCACCCAGCACCCCATCTCCTGTCCCACCCAGATACCTGAGGCCAACTCACCGTTCCTCTCGGACCACACCCGAGATCCCAAACAGCCCGAAGTCTGTGATGACCACTTTGCCATTGTCATAAAAGACATTCTTGGATTTGAGATCTTTGTGCACGATGCCCTTGGCATGCAGGTAGCCCATGCCCTGGAAAACAGCGAGGCTCACGTCAGGGGGAGAGAGTGGGTGCTGATGCTGAGTTTCTACCTTGTGGCCCGCGCTGTGCTGGATGCTTGCCCAAGTCCCCTCACTGAATCCTCACAGTCCTATGCTGCAGCTTGTCCTGTTTGACAGATGAGGAAATCGAGGCTCAGAAAGGCGAGGTCGCTTCCCCCAGGTACACAGCAGCTACCCAGCAGGGCTCAGATCTGACTCCAAGCCAGTCCATGCCCTTTTCACACCGTCAGGCTGCCAAATAGTCATCTTAGACTTGGACAGGGTGTAAGACGTAGAGAGGTCATGGCCAGGAAGCCAGGGAGATCCAAGAATATATGAAGTAATACTGGCTTGGGGTGTAGCTCAGCGGGAGAGCACTTGCCTAGCACGCATGTCAGGTCATAAAGGGTTCAAACAAGTTGGGGACTCCATCAGGATTTGCACAGCTGCTCTCTGCTCTCAGGCAGTATAAACGTCAGATGGGGAAGTAGAGGGACACTTCCACAAAGGGATCCCTGAACTTTGCCATTGTTGATGTCCACGCTGTGCTAGGAGCAGCCCTGGATTGAGACTGAAATCCGGGGTTCGAGTTCCATCTCAACTCAGATCCTAACTCACTAGGTGGCCTCAGACACAGTGTTAACTTCTCTGTGGCTCAGCCCCTCAGCTGTCAGTGCAAGGGCGGGGGTGGCGGGCGGGCTGATTTCTAAACTGTGCTCTTTGGAAGGAGCACTGCTGGGTCAGGTGCACGGAACACAGGTGACTCACGGGGACTCTGATGCCCCTGGGGACAGGGCCGAGACACCAAGGCTGAGTACCATCCCGGGGAGCTCTGAAAGAAGCAGCAATAAAACCACTCTCCACACCTCAGGAGCATCACTCGTTATGCAGAGATGTCCCTGGCAAAAAAGGTGTTACCCGGAAGGGGTGGGAAGGGGACAACGAGTGAAAAAACACACCCATTTAAGAAACAGAGTCAGCCACAAGCCAGAACCAGACAGAACTCAGCCCCTGCAAGAGCTCAGGCCCTGGGGGTCAAGAGCACTGGAGAACCATTTGTGCAAAGCATCAGAGGGGCCACTGCCCCTCTCCCCTGGGGCCTGTGGAGAGCTGTCTCCTTGTGATGGGGCCGGGGAGCTCTAGGAACCCCCTATCCTGGAACTCTGTCTCAATGCCAGACTGTCCTTTGAAAATGTCTGCCCTTTCCCAAACCAAACCCAGGCATGAGCCTTCCCGGTAGCCAGAAAGAGCCACAGGCTCACTGTGGGCTGAGTAGGGACCAGCTCTGGAACTAACTGGACCAGTCACTGTGCTGCTCTGAGCCTTATTTTTAAAACAGGTATCATAACCTGAATGGGCAAGTGTAAAGGGACAGGATGTAAACGGCTGGCTCTGGACACTGATTTTCCTTTCACAGAATTCCACAGGTGCCTCTAAGGTCCAAAAGTTGCCAAGTCCTCTAACCAAAGGTCCAGCCGCTTTTACTTCTTTTGACCAAAGCATCAGAGATAACCCCATAAAGGAAGTGGCTCTCAGGCCCCAGCAGGAGGAGAGAGGAGGGTTTCTCAGCAGGTTGGAAAGAAGCCAGCGGAGAGGCAGCTTCCGGTTCTGCAGCTCTAAAGCCTGTTAGTGACTTATCTCTGGGGCCTGGAGTCATCCTGAAGGCTCATCATCCTGACTCAGCAGTCAGCACCCAGATGCACCCCCCACTCCAGGTGCAGAGAGGAGAGGACCGTGAGGAGGAGCAGAGCAGGGAGGGGAGCAGGATTTAACAAGGCTGGGTTGGGGATGGAGAAGAAACACTGCGGCCCCCAAGGGCCGCTCTGAAAGAAGACGGAGCACACTGAAGGCAGAAATGGCATCTCTGGGATTCGCTTTTCAGAAGTTTAATTCATTAGCTTAGCAACACAGAAATATCCCTTGGAAATCTTGGTTTATCCACACATGCTACTGTAATTGCCATGTTTTCTAAAGAGAGACACACAGGGGGCTGGGGATTTAGCTCAGCGGCACAGCGCCTGCCTGGCAAGCGCAAGGTCGTGAGTTCGATTCCCAGTACCAGAAAAAAAAAGAAAGAAAGAGAGACACACAGACACACAACTGAAAGAAAGAAGGAAGGGAAAGGAGGGAGGAATAGGAATAAAGGAAGGAAGGAAGGAAAGAGGGAAGGAAGGAGGGAAGGAGGAAAGGAGGGGAAAAGGGAGAAAAGACAGATGGGGAAAGACTTGGTGGAGCTGTTAAGAGACAACAGCTTCTCAATACAGTTTTTTTAAAAAGGAAAGAAAAGAAATTCTATTCACCTGTTTTTATTTGGGCCTGTTCATTGCCAAATAAAGCAACAAATGAGCTCTTCTTTCACTTTTATTTAATCATTTTTTAAAACAGTGAAAGGAATGAGGGGGATTTCATTTGAGTGCAAGGGCCTGCCCTCGGGAAGGTGGCCTTGTAAACATGAAGACAGAAAGCCCAGGTCCTGGGTCCAGAGACATTAAATGCCACTTCGCCCTTTCCACTGCGCCTCCTAACTAACCTGAGTGCTGGGGTCTAGGCCAACGCCCTGTCCACAGATGACTGCACTTGACCTTTGCACTGCTCCAGTGAGGGAGAGAGTGCTGCAGCCCCATTTTACAAGAAAGAAAGCCAAGGCTCAGGGAGGCTAAAGAACCTGGCCAAGACCACACAGCCGGTGTGACCAGGAGCTGGGCTGTTTTTAGAACCAGCTGAGTTCTTCCCTACCTAATTCAATTCTATCAGCGCTGACCAAGTGAACTGCTCCAGCTATGAACAGATGAGAGAGGGACAGAGGGAAGCAGATAGATCCCACCTTGAGGAGCCCCCGTTAGAAGGAGAAGCAGAGCACGTAGCCACACCCCACCCTGACAGACACAGATGCTGCTGGAGGAAGGACCAGAGCTCTGACAGCAGCCAGAAACCCACCCTCCAGCTGCTGAGCGCCCTGTACCTTGATGATCTCCTGAGCGATCTGCCTCGTCTTGTTGATGTCCAGCGATGTCTTGGGGTCCCTCACAAACGAGTGCAACGTCCGCCCCTTGCAGAAGCTGTCGAGAGTGGTGGGCTCAGTCAGGTCAGATACTGGCATGGCCAAGGAGGCCCTGTCCCCATCTGCTCCTGGAGGGTCCTCCACAAAGCATTCCTGTCCTTAACCAAACCCGACATCCATTCCTACTGGGACCTGGCCTGCGAGGGCTCAGACACACACCCCGCCTAAGGCCCTCCCAACCTACACAAGGACACCAGTCCACCCACTAGGCTCCCTGTAACCCTGGGTGGCCCACTGCGGTGGGGGCAAGGCAGGACCACAAGCAGCAAAACTCAAACGGGCAGGAACCCAGCCTCTTATAGCTAGCGCCAGGCAACCTCAAGGCTCTGGTGCTCACTGCATAGTCTCATTATTGCATTTATGTTTAGGCCCCAGAGCTTTTCTTTTTTTTTTAAATAAAGCCATGGGTAAATAAGGACAAGGCACTGGGGTGGCTGTCAGAGGATCGCAGTGATTATGGGAAAGAGAGCTTGCGTTCTGCGGCCTCCACCTACATCAATTCCAAAAACCCAGGGGGACGAAGGACCCAGACAGGGTGTGGCTCCCGTTCCTGTTCTGGGGGGAAGCGGCCTATGCTATCTTAGGGAAGGACTAGTTTTTAGGAAAAGTGTCCCGAAAGTAAGGTTCTTCGCATCTCAGAGACTTTAAAAACCAAGAGGCCAAGGGCTATGGAGCATTGGCTGATGGTCTCCTAGCTGCATCCCATTTTCCTAGGTATATTTCTAAAAATGCAGTGTTTTCTTGTTAGTGAACACTGTCCTGTTTCACTGTGGGTACACCTACCTGTCCACTGACTCCCACCTCTTAAAAACAGGGTGCATGAGAGAGGGGAGGGCGGGCGGGTGGGGGACAGCAGCAGGGGCTGTGGGATTGGGGTTGCAGGGCTGGCGTGGTCACAGCGAGGCTCTCTGGGCATCAGCTTGCCCTGCTTTGGGCTAGAATTTTATCCCCGTGGTCAAGAGACCCTTCTGCTCAGGAGTGCCGTGGCTGGTTACTTACCTCACAGATAAACAAACCAAATGGACATTAAGTTTTACTTACTTCACTGCTTTGAAAGGAAAAATATTTTTTCTTAAAGTATAGGATCCAGGTATAGGGAACATCACCACAATGTTAATGAGGATCCTCTTGGTTCAACAGGATTCAAGTGAGTTTTAGATTCTTCTTAAAACTTCTATGTATATTTATTTGAGAGTTTTTCTAATGACCTCATAATACTTTTCCCAACTTTAAAAGTACACCGTAATATCATAAATATCATGCACAAAACTGTTCCAGACTCACAGCTCTGAGGAAGAGACACGCGGGTCAGGAGTAGCACACTGAGCACTAGCCATAGTAGAAATGGGCTACAGACATCAAAACATGAGGGGCCGGGATGTAGCTCAGTGGTAGAGCCCTCACCTAGTACAGGCAGGGACCTAGGTTCGATCCTCAGCACTGCCAGAAAAAAAAAAGAAGACGAAGAGGACCCCAGCCCTACAGTCAAGGGAGAAAAACAAGGTGTGAACCAGCAGGGTTTCTCCCATGTTTTTATAAAGGAATAGTTGAAAAATTTCTGAGCCCATGCAAAAGTTTTATTTTAGTGGAGGGAATGAGGATATCTACCATAGCCACCTCTGGGGACAACAAGTGCCCAGCTGGCAGGAGATGACCTCTGCTCTGTGCCAAGAACCCAGAATCCTCAGAGGAGTATCGTTTCACTTATTCTTACTGTCGGAGAGGTTATGTAAGCAGAAGTTACACCCCATTTTTTTTCTTTTTTGTATTTCTATGAAAACTCGCACACCCTGCAGGGCTGCCTGGGTGAGGGTGACGGGGCCCAGGGCTGCTCACCTAGTGATGATGGCCAGGTGGGGAGGGTTCATGCAGGCGCCCATGAAGAGCACCACGTTCTCGTGCCGCGTCTGCCGGTAGTTCATCACCTCCTTCTTGAACAGCTTCAGGTGGTCCTGGTTGTGGCCGTCCATCTCCAGCAGGCGAATGGCCACCTCGCCGTGCCAGCGGCCACGGTGCACTCGGCCCCAGCGGCCCTGCCCGATGAGCTCGCCCAGCTCCACCTGCTCGAAGGGGATGTCCCACTCCTGCAGGTACACGCTGGTCTGGCTGGCCTTGCGGGAGATGGGGCCCCGCCAGGGCCGGCGGGAGCTCGGCAGGTCGTCCACCTCGTCCTCGTCATCTTCTGCCTCTGACTTGCCAGCCTCCGGCTCCTCGGCCTGGAAGGAGAGCAGGAATGAATGGGGGGGGTGGCAAGTCAAGGTCCTCTCTTCCCTTTCTGGAGCCCCAGCCAGGCAACGGGGAGAGGCCTGGATCTGAAAGCTGGACTCTACACACAGCTCTGTACTGGCTTGCTGTGGACAGTGGGCAGGTCCCTCAGCATCACTGGACCTCAGTGTCTTCATGCACAAAATACAGCCGCCGGCCCAGGTCATTGCCACAGTCCCCCACCCTGCTAATACTCCCGAGAGCAACAACATCTAATCGTTTAGGGAACAGCACGGACATCCCAGCCACGGAAGACCTTCACTGCATTCACCCTCTGGTACGACCCTGTCAAGCTATTTCGGACTCTCCTCCGGGCAGGAGTAACATTCTGTAAGTTACACTGCATGGCAGGGATCCAGGCTCAGTTCATACTTTCATCAGAATCACCTGGTGAGTTCTGACAACATTTTAAAAACATCCTAGACTGATGGCATCAGTCTGAGCGAGAGTGAGGACCAAGAACTGCTCGCGTACTTCAGTTAGCCCAGAAACAGACGCGAAGGAGGCAGGCGTGGCTGCTTTGTCCCTACTGTGCGCCTGTGCCACACTGCGCCATAGGCACCGCGAAGACCCTTGCTGGGCCTGGGCCTCCCCATATGCAGACCCCCCCACATTCCGGGGAGGGCAGGAGATACCAGCGGCTGTCCGTGGGTTCGGGTGTGGCACCCTCACTCACCTCCGCCTCGTGAGCCTCCACCACCTCGGCTTTTGGCTGGTCATCAGGCCTAAGAGTAAAACAGGCTCTGTCAGGAGATCCTGGGCTGGGCAGGGGCTCCCAGGGAAGCTCTAAGGCGAAGGCTGCCAGGCCTAGACCTATACTGTGAGCCATCTGGCTCAGGGTAAGGCAGCGTGGATGCCGTGGGGACAGAAAGAGGCTGGGGACCAGGCCCGCTCCTGCTCGAGTCTCAGCCTTCTCCCCAGGCTGAACTGACGGTAGCTGGCGACAAGGGGTGGGCAGTCGCCACCAAGGCCCTTTCAAACTTGACACTGTGGTCCCGGAGTTCAAAGCGCACGCACAGGCCCCGGGATCCGACAGGCCTGCGTCTCAGCTCTCTGCTGCTTCCTCGCTCTGTGGCCTTGCTCATGTAACTCGGCCTCTCCGGGCTGGCTGTACATTAGGGACTGGCCGAGGACTACAAAGGAAGCCGAAGTCAAGGGCTCCCGCCAGCCTGCCTTGGAGGAAGGGCTCCCTCAGTGGGACCTATGTGTAGTAGGTCTAACTCCGAGTGCCCGTTGTTCACCCTCCCGGGCCCCCGGCCTGCTCTAGTTTGGCTCGCAGCCCCGCACACAGCTCACGGCACTGACACAAAGAAACCTTTCCTCGGGGAGTGATCTGGCACAGGCAGCAATCAGCCCGGCCAGCCTCCACCAGGCTGGGCCAGGCCCTGGCAACACCCACAGCGGGAGGGTCAGAGATTTCAGGGTAGGGCTGGGAGGCAGCTGGGGATCTGGGTTTGATCTCAGTAGGTCCCCAGGCAGAGAAGGGACACTCGGCACGGGGACTCCTACCGGGTACTGTCGGTGGCATCAGGGGGCGGTGCTGCCTGAGGAAAGGCCGAAATATCTGCAGGAAACAAAGCACAAACACAAAGCATGAGGCCACTTTTCCCAGCCCCGAGATCCCACAGCTGCCCAAAAGGGAGAAATCCCTCCTCTCTGAGCAGCTACCCCTGTTCTCCAGGCCACTGCCACAGGGACCAGCTTGTGCTGAACCCACAAAGCTGACATGAGCCCAGCCTCCACGGTTTCTCTTCTGTCCACACTGCTCTGTCCCGGGAAGGGGCCCGTGTGGGTAAGAGGGCGGGTCTCCTCAGTCAACACCACTGCCAGGTGGCTACCAGGTCAAAACTGGGGAAAGCCAGCTGGCTACACTACAGGGGAGAGGAGCCAGAGCCACCCTGGGGAGGGTCTTCCTGGCTGAAGGCAGGGCTGGCAGTCACAACTCTTGAAAGTAGGGACACCTGACAGCAGAAATCAAAGATTCCTTAGCGACACCTGGTGCAGTCGCTGGGAATTTCCAGAGCAGCCCTCCCGCTTGCTTCTGGGATTAGGTTGTCCCAGGCTGGGCGGCTGAGACTGACCCCTGGGCAGGGGCCTTAGCACCTAAGACCCCTGCCAACACCCAAATGGACAGTGCTACAAGGGGTGATGGCCCTAGGGATGGGCTGGACTCCTCACTCCTTAAAGCAAAGAGAGAGCTAAGCAGCAGCAGCAGCCTGAGCAATAGCAACCCCTCTCCTGCCTTGGACAGAGTCCTCCCCACTCAGCCATAAAGCTTCCCTTGCCCTTTTCCTTGCCCTTTCTCCAAAGCGGACTCTGAAGGGCATCAGAACCGGAAGTTAACATGTCTACACCTCATGGACGATCTGCTAGAATCTTATCATGGCAACGCACTCATGTGGCCACCATCCTGTGCAGTTTCCGGGGACATTGGACCTCACAAGCCTCTGCTGAGGCCTCCCCAGACACTGCCACATGGTGTCCAGATCGCCATGGGTGGCCTGGCATTTCCACCCACCCAGCACTTTCAAAATGTTTCCACAGAAGACAGACATGCCTGGGGGTCAGGGAACTGGAGGTGGGGGGGTAACAGCAATCCACTGGGGAGGGCAAAAGCCTTTGGAGACCCCACACTTTTCCTAAAAATGAAGAGCAGATTGTGATCCTGCTCCAATACAAGTCTATGTCTGCTTTAAGACATCATCCCTTCCCCTCCTGTGAGGCAGCTTTAGGACAGAATGGACCGTCCATGTTTTCCAGGCCTCGGGAAGGGGCATGCCTCGTATGTGTTCCAGAGCTGGTACCCAAGGAGGTTCCAGGGCAGCCACAGCAACAGCCCAGCTGCCCAGAGGGGGCCTATGGGGCAGAGCCCAGGTCACGAATGCTACCAGCCGGCACCGGCCTGCACAAAGCTGTGCGGACAGGGACTCACAAAGGCTCCAGTTCAGTCCCCCAGTACAGTGGAGCTGGGGAAGAGAAAAACCTGGAATGACCAAAACGCTGACTTCAAGACTGTCTTGTTCAACCCAGAGGGGAAAAAAACAATTAAGTACAGTTTTAGTCTTAAAAAATCATGCTTGTCATCTCTGGCTAGAACTAAAGAAGAAATGATCTAATAAACTCCTTCAAGCAGCATCAAGGAATACAGTCAAACGCAAAGGAGGGCACAAGGCTGAACAAATGGAAACAATGTCTGCGGACGGGAATCAATGAATTGTGTTAGGGAAGGGAGTTTTTTCCCATTAAACTTTCTGCAATGATGGCCAGCAGGTGGTGCTGTGCAGTAAGGCTTAGAAAGGCGAAGACCACGGATTTTCACCATGTGTCCTTATGTAGGGAGGAGGATATGGCGACAGATGCTCAGAAGACATCAGCAAAAAGCCTTCTCCCCTCTTTCTGCAAACTGGGTTCTAGTCCTGCTTGCTTCCGCCACCACTTGGCAATGGGGCCCTGAACAAGTTGCCAGTGGTCTCTGCAAGAGGCAGCGCAGGATGGACTCCAGGGTCCCTCCCAGCAAGGCGCGGCCATGAAGGGGCCCACCTCCAGGACACTTGCTCTGCCCCCTTGCCCAGCCACCACAGACTCAAGCTCTGAGGAAGAGGGCCCTCAGGGTCACTGGGTGGAGGGGTCACAGCAAGGGGCAGTTAGTGGGACCATGCAGAGGACTCACCTGGGAAGATAAACTGCTGTCTATGATGAATGAAGTAGGCAGCTTTAAACAGAAGAGGAGGCGAGTCACACACAGTGGCAAACGCAGCGAGGGAGAGGATGCGTGGGCTGGGGAGGCAGGACCTGGTTACTGGGCTGGGGCAGCCCCACCCCACACGCCTGACCCCTGGTAGGCCCAGCAAGGACAGGCTCAGCCATGCAGGAAGGAGGGAGAGAGCTCAAGGTCACGAGTGCTGGCAGGAGCCCCAAGAGTAAAGGGGGCTTCACTGGAGGATCAGAGGGTGCTGGGACCTGTCTCAGTAGCCACTTTGCTGCCAAGCTCTGGCCAGCACCCTGCTCTGGAAAATGCACAGGAGCCCTGAGAACAAAATACAATGCGGGAGGAAAACTGTTCTGAAAAGGTCGGTTTGTGTCGGGTGCAAAAGAACGGCCTCCTCTTCTCAGCCCATCCTGACCCTGGAGCACCTCAGCCTGCCCAACCCCTATGGACAGGTTCCTAAATACACAGCATCTCTCATAAGGGATGCACTGGGGTCCTACAATCTGATACAGAATGATTTATCGTGTCTTGTGTTTCTGAGGCAAGTCGTGCTATGTTGCCCAGGCTGGCCTTGAACTCCGGTGCTCCAGGAATCCTCTTGCCTCGGCCTTCTGAGTAGCTGAGACCACAGGTGTGTGCCACTGTACCTGACAGGACACACAATGTTTTAACCTCCATGTCACCACACGCTGGGCTCTGTGACTCAGGGACACTAACTTCTCCAGCTATCACACTGCAGAACAGAGGAATTCCTTCCACCTTTCCCAGGTGTATGCTGAAGGTCACAGGCAGGGCTCCCAAACAGCACAGAGCAGCTGAACAGCAGGAGGAGCTCTCACTGCTTTGCTTCCCCAGCCCTACCCTGCCTGGCCAGGCCCCATGTTCTGATAAGATCATGGAGCGCAAGATCTGACAGGGGACAATGAGGGCCCAGTTCCCTCATGAGATATCCGTGAAAGTGGACACGGTTCGGCAGACATCACAGAAAAAGACTTTCCGTGGCTGCTGTTTTCCAAACAGGCCCTTTCTTTTAGAAAAGCCCAAACTAAGTGGGATAGCAAAAGGGACAGTAACGACAGAGCAGAAGGGGAGGAGGTTCATCAAATGGGACAGTACTGAATCGCAGAGAAGGCTGGGGCGTGTTCAGGTCAGGAGCTATCCAGCCACATGCATATTAAGGCAAAGGAATAAGCAGAAGAGAAACGGTCCTAGAAAATGTAATCTCTCACCACTCCCAAAAGAAATCTCCAAGACCCTGGGGATTAGGGTCCTGAGAGGCAGCCTGGCCTGCTGCTGGCTGTGTGGCCCCAAGCAGGTCATCTGGCACAGGAGAGACCTCTGTCCCTCCAGGCTTGGAGCTGCAGCAGCCAGTGACAGGCCTGACCTGTATGCCATGGGCGGGAGAGGACAGAGGATCCGGGTCCCAGCCATCCCTCCTTCCCCTGGGACAGCAAACTGAAGTATACCGAGGGCTGAGACAAAGGGCCCGCAGCAGTCTGGGAGACCAAGGCAGCGCTCGGTCTCAACCTGAGTCAGTGGGCCCACTCCACTCCTCAGAGGACACGCAACGCCACTCCCCGCACCCTCCGGGCCGGGTGGCAGAATGCAAGAGAGGCTGACATCTTGGCCTCCTACAGACCCCGGGGGCTGGGGCTGTGTGGCAGCAGAGCTCAGAGGTCTGGCTCAGGTCTGCCCCACCTGTGCTCCTGCGGGACTCAGTGTCCTCTGCACAATGGTGTCCCGGACCGGAACTTCACACGGTCTCCTTGTTTTACAGAAAGGGAGGGAAAGGTCTCCTTGGGGAGGCCATCCCAGTCAGAGTAGCCTTATGCTGCCTGCCACATCAGCTGGAGCTCAGCAGCCAGCCCCAAAAGAGTGACAAAGCTGAGCAGAAGCCACCCACCCCACACACAGGAGGACAGCACGAAGATTAGGCCAAAAGCCCAGGCTGGGTAGCAGATGGACTTGTGCTTGATCCTGGCTCTAGCACTTACAACCTGTGTATAACTCAAGGTAAGCCACTCCCTTTCCCTGAACCTCAGTGTCCACATCCATACATTGGGTACAACAGCAGCATCAACCTCAGAGCTATGGTGGGAGTGTGTAACTGTGAACCTGCAGCATCATCTGAGAAGGATCTGGCCGTCCCTGGGTGGTACCTGGGAAGTTGAACCTGCTGTCCCGCTGGCCAGGTGAGGGGTTGGGGGGTGTGGTGGCACTGGATGGGTTGGACGATGTTGGGAAGGGCGCTGGCGAAGAGGGCGTGGAGGACGTGGTGGAGGATGGGTTGCTGCTGGAGTCCAGGTGGTTCATGGCCGGAGGATGCTCCTGCAAGACCAGAGATGTCGAAAGTGAGCAGGGCCCAACTGCACTGCCAGCTGCCTCCACATCTGGACCCTCCCCTCCCATCTAAAAAGAGGCGCTCAGCCCACAGGCCCTTAGCATCCTGTTCCCCAGCTCTGGCATCTTCCAGGTCTAATATTTGAGGGAAGAGGCATATAAAGACCCTCCACTGGAGGACTCCTGACCATTTTTCTTCTTTCCACTCAAACATATTCCTGAACCCCAGTTAGGACCATTTTCCTCCTCCTCCTCCCATAGCTCCCAGCAGTTCTTCCACAGGGCACTCCAAGGACAGCTCGTCAACTGTAGACACCTGCAGGTAGTTCGCTGATTATGTCCGTCCCTCCAGTGCCTGCCTGGACATGAGCCGGACACACGGTAGGCTTTTGTAAAGAACTCAATTCAGCCTGTGACAAATGTTTACAAGATGTCTACTGCACGCCAGGCATTCTGCTACGAGCAGAGAGACCATGGTGAGCAAGGCACATGTATGGCCCTTGTCTTTGCAGATGCTGTCCCCAAAGTATTGGGGACTCTCAGAGCCTGTATTAAACTGCAGAACCCTGAAAGAGGCAACAGCTTGGGCTGGTGTTATGTGCCATCCTGGAGGGTTACAGATTCCAGAGCTAGAACGCAGCTTCTAGAAGATGACCAAAGAGCTGAATTATTAGGGCAGGCCTGGTTCATGCCTCCTATTACAACTTAAATGTCAATGCCATTTCCTTTACATCCCAAAGCAAGCACAGTCTCCAAGGTGACTAATAAATGCTTCTTCCACTCTTGCAGGCCTGGGAACCAGGACCCACAGTGGCTTGGGGGTGTCTAACAAGGCCGAACGGCCAGTGGAGAGAGGACTCTCAGGGCCTTTTGTGTTGGGCAGGGTCCTGGACCTGACCAGTGTTTCCTAAGCCCTGGGGATGGGAGAGGAATTCCTAGATCAAAGGAATTAAATGCCAAGTTCAAAGGTTTCTCTTCTGCAGGCCTGGAAGGCTTTGGGAGGTGCACAGTGCAGTCTGGGACTGATCAAAACTGGGGTTCTGGGCCTCACTAACCGGAGTCAGCTGACCCTGCATGGTGCCAGCTGAAGAAGGCAGGCCGAGTCCACTGAGCAGCCCCTCTCCCCACTCATGCTCCAAGGCTCAAGAGCCTCCCCCCGTCCCATCAGGGGGTCAGGCCTGTGCCAAGGCAGGAGAGACCGGCCATGGGGGAAAGCTGAACCACAGCTCCTCCTCTTAGCACCTGTGCGGCCTTAGACAAAGGACCCAGCCTTCCTGAGGCACAGCGTGTCATCTCTAATGCAGGGGTAGCAGCCGCTGCATCACCGGGTCACGCATTCATTCCACCCTCAATGTGATACAGCACTCCCGCTGCTAGTGTGAGCTGGGGCCAATGCAGGCATCAGAGAGAGCATCTTCTCAGGGCATCTGTGCCAAAGCCAGGGGAGGGCAGAGGGGAAAGTGACTGGAGGAGAAGTCAGGAGATGGGATGGATCCACCACCCTCAGCACACCGTTCCAGTACCTGCTCACTCATGTTGCAATGGTGACCTTTAAAGAGGACACCAGAACAACGGGACCAGGCCACTGCCCTAGTGACACGGGAGGGACCACTGGCACCACCAGGCTGTTGCCTTAGTGCCAAGCAGGTGCGTGCAGGAGGCTGGGGGAGGCAGGGCCTGGATGGGCCCAGAGGAACCCACAGGAGAGCTGCGCTGCCATCCAAGAGGTGGGGACAGAGGAGCAAGGTGCCAGGGTGTGAAGGGCCATCAGACGGTGCGGGTGTGCGAGGACCGCACGAGGACTGGGCGGGTGGAGCTGGAGAGGCGGGGGCAGGGCGGTAACAATGGTGTTGGCAACGGGAGGTACTGAGAAATCTCACCTGTGTGACAGGCTGAGAAATCACAGGGGACAGAAAGGTACCCTGCCCTATGAGGAAGCTCTGAACATTCCCTCGTGACCCTCACACACCCTGGATCATCCCCACTTCACAAACTGTGAAACTGAGACTTAGGGAGGTCACACAGCTCACTCAAGGTCACAGAAGCAAGAAAGGGGAACAGCAGAGACTCAAGCCCAAGGCTGTGGATCTGCCAGGAGCTGAATGTCTATATCCCCTAAAGCCTCCATGTTGGAATCCTAACCCCCAAGGCGACAGGATTAGGAGGTGGCCTTTGGGGGTGATTAAGTCCTGAGTGGTCCCTTGTGAATGGGATCAGTGCCTCTATAAAGGAGGCCAGTAGGGGGGTGCTGGACCCCTCCAGCCGGTAAAGACAGCAGGAAGCACCTCTCTGTGAGGAACCGGCTTTCAGGGCACCCTGGGGCTCAGTCTCCGTCTGAAATAAAGATGCTATCAGCACGTGTCCTTTGGAATCCCTGCGAGGCTCAAATGAGACATGGCAGGAACAGCTCCTGGCACAGAGTAAGGCCTCAGGAAATGCGCCTCAGAGGAGGAGGAAGGGCATGGGAACCACAGCTGTGGAACCACAATTTGGACATAAACGTGGAGCTTACTCAACAGCTAAGAACACCCCGAGGGCAGCCCCCAGCCACAGAGCCGACTGCGGTGTCCTGTCCTGCGCCCTCATCAAACCTCTGCATTGAGGGGCGCTTTACAGGAAGGAATCCCAGGGCTGGGGTGTGAGAACAGTGGGGGCTCCCCACGTACCTTCTTTGTCAGGGCCTTGGGGAGGGTTCCAAAATGAGGCTCGGCGGCTCTGTCCACGGGGTTGTTGATGTCCGAGGGGACAGATTCCGTCCTCCGCAGCCTGGTTACTGGGTGAAAAGGGAGCCCCGTCAGCAGGGAGCAGATCGCACTGGGAGAGATTCACCCGACGACCCCTGGAGGCAGAGGAGGGCAGGCACTCACGTGGGAGGAAGGAGATCCTACAGGCAGGGGCTTCCTTTGTACACTTGTTGTGACACTTCAGCCTGTAATGGAGACAGAGTCAGCAAAGTCAGCGCCGGGACAGCCACGCGAGGCGCTGCGGGGAGCTCTGGCAGCGTTCCCCACAACTGCCTCAGTCCCCCGACGCGCGCAGCAGACAGGAGTGCCCCCGTGCGGCAGAGCCGAGCGAGCAACCTCTGGGCACAGCAGGCCACACTGTGCCAGCTTTAACTTACTGAGCACACACATCTACTTTGTCCCCTTAAAAAAAACAAGACCTTCTACTGCTTTCAGAAAGCCCCAGATGGATCCAAACTCACAAAAAAAGGAGAATAATAATAATAATAATAATAGAAGAAGAAGAAGAAGGTGGTGGTGGTTTGTATTACTGAAGGATCCCAGGGACCCTATGGGCAGCCTGCTGAACCAAATCTCGCTGTTCGCATCAGTGACACAGGCTGACAGCGGCCGCCCTCCCAACCTCCAGGTGCTGCTGAAGGGCTGTGGGGAGCTGGGGGCATCCTGCACTCCCCACCCCAGGATGAGAGCTGGAGGCCCCCAATTCATCCCCAAGCCAAATGGCCAGAAGCCACAGGAAACCAGACAGGAGAGAAAACTCTGGGACTTCTTCGGAGGTCAGGAGTCATCTGGAACAGGACCCATCCAGCTCACACACCCAGGACCCATCCCCGACGACTGGACCGAGGCCCAAAGTCCAAGTCAGGCACAAGAGCTCAGAGTCTTAGAGCAACCTCAATGGACTCATCTTCCCAGATGTGTGAACGGAAAAAAAAAAAAGCCCCAGAAAGGGCAAGCACAGTACCCCAAGTCACACAGCAATGCAGGGCCAATGTGGGCCAGGAACCACGACTCCATAAAGGAAGGGCACCCAAACTGCCAATGACAGACTGCTTCCTCCACCCGCCCTCCACTGTGTCCTATCCTTGTTCTTTCCACTGGAAACCACAATGCTATGAGGACCAAAAAGCTAGGCGGGTACAGAATCGTACTCTCTTCTCATTATGCTGATTTATAAGCCAATTGTTTTTACCATGTCTGTCCCCACTTCCCATCCCTGCGTTCTTAAAATGTAAGACTAAAATTCTCACAATAGTGCTTTGTTCCTTTTCTACCTTTGAATTCCTTCAAAGAATCCTTCGTCTACCTGGTAAGCTTCTATTCATCCTTCAAAGCCCACCTCCAATATTCCTATCCTCCAAAGGTACCTCACTTTATCTTCCCTAGCAAGGCCTGATCAGATCACCCTGGTATGCTGGGTGGGATTATGAATAGTTGGTTTACAGGCACTCCTTTGACCTGAGGCCAAGAGTAAAGTAGTAAAATTGTTCCAACACTAAAAGTCTTTGCTCCTCCCGCCCTTGCCCGGCACCTGCAGTGCTTGCACTTCACTCCGAACATCATGCTCTTCTGGCACACGTGGCAGACCTGCGACAGCCAGGACTTGGTGGAGAACCTGCGGAGGAGGACAAAAGCATGTGGGACCAGGGCCTGGTCACAAAAGGGTTTCTAAAGGGCACGAGGAGACCCGACTCCAGCCCAGAGTCCTGACAGCCTTCTCCGAGGACCGTGGCTTCCCCCCGGGTATTTAGATTGCTCAGCCAGTCACCACCACCACCATCCTGAAGTCGGTGTGGTTACAAGTTTGGGAAGCGCAGTCACAATCACCAGTGCGCCTGTCTCCTGCCCCAGCAATTCTCGGCCTAGGCATTTACCTGCTGAGACTGCCCCGAGCGTCACAGCATGGATGAGGTGCTCCACAGAAATCGCACAATGGAACCGTACAACAGTATAAAAGTGTGCGTACTACGTCCAATGTGTGTGACAAAAGAAAGCAAAACACATACTTACGTATTTGCTTATATAAATTATTTCTCAAAGGACACAGCAGAGACTGCTGAGCCGGACAGGGGAATCTAGCGAATCAGGGGAGGGTGGGGCTTTTATCTCTTTTCAACCTCTTGAATTTTGAATGCAGCAATGTATTTTCAGCCCAAAGTCTAGACAACTAAAACACAAAAGGAAGACTGCAAGAAGGATGGGGTTGAGTGGGTGGTGTCCCCTCCAGAAAAAAAGGCCACAGGGCAGGAGGGCCTAAGGGCAGACAGCTTATTTTTGAGAAGAGATCTTCGAAAAGCATAGCACAGCAGAAGGAATATGAATCGCACTCGTGGAGGAGTTTGTAACCCACCCACAAGCACTAGGTCCCCTGGCATTACGACCGCCCCAGGAGTTAGGCAGGTCCCGGACTCTCACGCAGTACACAGGCCAGGAAACTGGCACAGTGAGGGCAGGTGACGGCCTCGGCCAGCTGGCCGTGGGTGCCCTGACCCTCCTCCCGAGGCTCTGGTGCGCAAGATCCCAGGCCGGACAGGGTTCCCATCAGAGGTCCCTGCCTGCCCTGGGCTCACTGTCGCATAGGTGCTGTAACTCTGGACACATTACTCAACCCTCGGGAGCCAGGGCTCCCCTCTGGCGGAACTCCAGGCTGGCCTCAGCATAGGCACGAGAAGAGCTCACACTCCCCAGGGCAAGGGCTGGCCATGGCAAGTAATGGCAGCTTTGACTGAGCTCGCTACTGTGCTTCACCAGCCTCTCACGGGGGCAGCGAGAGCACAGATTTCCCAAGGCCTTGTCCTGCTGGCCGGCCACACAGATCCTTGATGTCAGCACACCCGGCCTACCATGCGGGGACCTTGTTGGGGATCCCTATAAGCCTCTCTCTATAGGTATAAGCGTTGGTGAGGAAGTGGCTGGCAACAAGGTAAGCAGGCAGAGCCCTGAGAAACAGCTACCAGGATAACTGCCCAGCTTTGCTGGGGGCCCAGCCCCTATGCCCTTCCCCACCCAGACCTACCTGTGTGTCACTGAGAGCCCGATGTCCCTTCGTACCATCTGTGGGGATCCATGGGAGAGATCTGCGAGGAAAGAGGCCAGGTGGGGCAAGCTGAAGGAAGCTCTGTCTGGGACAGCTTGTGCCTGGCACCTTCCAGTTCAGAGATCACAGACGAGATAGGATGCGATGGTCACACAGCAAAAAACTCACTAAGCTCAACCAAACCTGGGGCAGGAGAGCTAAACCAGGGGAGCAACGTGGTCAGCTGCATGCCAGGCTTGCTCTCTAGTCACAATCATTGCTGGGCCTCTTCGCATACTCAGGCTGCTGCCCCTGCATATTTCTCCCCTGGTGGAGGCAGCCTCAAGATGTCCAAAGCAAAAAAAGAAAAGAGAGAGAGAGAGAGAGAAAGGAAGGAAGGAGGGAGGGAGAGAAGGAGGGAAGAAGGAAGGGAGACAGGGAAGAAGGGAGGGAGGAAGGAAGGGAGGAAGGGAGGGGAGAGGAAAAAAGCCTGGTGTGGTGGCACATGCCTGTAATCCCAGCACTCAGGAGGCTGAAGCAGGAGGATCACCACAAGTGAATTCAAGGCCAACTTGGAATACATACCAAGACTCTGCCTCAAAACACCAAAAAAGAAAAAGAAAAAGAAGACCCCCAAGGCAATGCAAAGGTGAGAAAAGTTCCCCCACATTCAGTCTCCTCCTCTCTCAGGGACACACCAGTCTTTAACGGCTTGATTTTGCTACTAATTACGTGTGAAAGCTCGGGCTCCAGCACAGGGCACAAGGCCAGTTAGCTAAGCAGCTCAACCCCAGCCCCAGCCCAAACCCCTAGAAGACCCTTCTCTGACAGCCACCCTTGCTAGCTCTTGGAAGGAAAAGGACAAGGTAAGTCCCTCACATGGCCAGGTCCACTGGGCACTGCAGTCAGAGCCTCTAGGGCGTCTCAGGCACCTTCTCTCTCCGCTGAGTGGAGGGCTGTGGCCTTCGACATGCCCTCAGCTGCCTCACTGGTGGGACCCTGGGCTCTCCCTAAGATCAGCAGCCCCAGTGTTTAAGGCAGAAGAGGACTGGGCAGTGGGTGAGTGCCAGACATGGTCTCTACCCACCTGCAGCCCCCACATAACCAACTCAAGCCCCCTCCCCACCCTTTCTCCTCCTGAGCCCACAGATGGGCTTTGGGGGTGTCCAACAGCCCTCTGGACTGGTTGGCAGGATGTCAAGGGCTTTTCCCTGGAAACAGGGTCTAGACTTTCATCCAATTGTTAAAGGGACCTGTAATCCAGAAAGGAACACAATGTTTGCGTGATCTGTGGTCATCTTTGTGTCCCCTGAATGTGCCTCCCAAGGGCGGCCACTCGTCCGTCCTTGAATGCTGGCCTACACAGCTGGTGCTCATTACATGCTGGTGCACCTAAGGCCAAGTACCACGTACCCAGTCCCACAGGAGGGGGCTAGAAGAACTGACCTCCAGCCCCTACACCATGGGGATTGTGATTGGGACAAAAGGCCCTGTGCCACATTCGTAATAACCGGGGTGCCCTACCCTTCTATCACCTAAAGCTCTCGGGCACATCTGCCATGGAGCTGACCCCTGCCAACTTCCTCCTAAGGCCTCTCCATCCCAGCCAGCAGCCAAGGCCATCCAAACACACAGCTCTCTAAGAAGGGCCGGCTGCCGAAAGAGACACTGGGAATGTGAGACTTCAACCACCCTGCTCAGAACATAACCCGACTATACCACCGGCCGCAGATGCAGGGGAGGGAAGTGAGAGGACCCGTGTGGCAGGTGTGCTGGCTGTCTGACCTGGATGGGAACACTGGCCCTGAAGGACTGATGGCCTCACTGTGGTGCCAGAACCATGTCACCAAGGCAAAGGAGGACAGGGTCAGGCTCTGCTAAGGGCCCTGGCGTTTCTGCATATCTGGGGAGAGGGAAGCACAAATGTTCTCCTTCGCATCCCACATCTCCCTGGGGTCCCTACAGCAGCTTCCTTCAGCGGGTCATTGCCCGCTAAACCCCTCTCCCTCCCAAGACCTCACCCACGCTGACACCAGTCTCCTTAGCTAGCTATGGATAATAGGAAAAATACGCTGCTCTTTTATTCAGGCAAAGAAAAACCCTGGGCATTCCTGCATGTCCACTCGATTAAAAGCGTACTGCAGGGGCTTGGTTGTGTCTCACAGGAAAGGCCCAACAATAAACCAAGTGCAAGATCTAGTTCCCAACCAGGCACACAGGTCCATGCCTGTAATTCCAGCTACTCTTGAGGCTGAGGTGGGAAGGTCGCAAGTTCAAGACCAGCCTGGGCAACTCAGTGAGACCCCGTCTCAAAACAAAATAAAAAGGCTTGCAAATGTAGCTCAGTTGTTAGAAAGCTTGATTATCACAGAGGAGGCCTTGGGTTTGTTCAATATTCAGAACCACTTCCCTCCAAAAAGAAGACCCCGATCCCAATCTGGAGGTGGTGAGGTAGAAAAATGGGGGCCAGGGTCACCTGAGCTTCCTTCTCTCCCAGTGGGGCATCTGTACTCTGCAATTCAGAGCTGCCTCTAGTAAAATCTAGTAATGTCCCTCCAGCGAGAAGGCCCAGAGGACTCTGAGACAACTCTTTCCCCTAAACCAGCCAGAGGGCTCCTCCTCCCAGCAGCATCGCTTTACCTGGTAGCCCAGAGATCACTCACTGTAGGGACAGCACGGTGGAGACAGGGCCCATCATAGAGCTACCATGGACCACGACACTCTCCAGGTCTCTACTTCTCAGACAACAGCCACTGCTGGGCTGGGGTCAGCTGTACTTTAAGGCCACCTGAGTCAGAACTACTTCCCGAAGTGGTCACCAGTGCCTCTGCTTCTGGACTATGGAAAGGCCAGCCAGGCCAAGAGAGAGAGTCCCCTGATGGGGACAGCAACACAAACAGGACTCCCAGTGGCAGAGGGGACGAAAATGAATCACTCTTACCAAACCTGAAAGAGACAAAAAGAAGAGAGAGGGATTATGTCACCACACTGGCTCAGCAAGTTCCCAGAACATTACCTGCTGGGAAGGAGCAGGCGAGAAGCTGGCGCAAGGCACAGAGGTGTGGCTTGGGGCCAGGCTGTCTGAGCGACTGTAGGAAGCCCTGTGATCTCTATGGGGCCATTTCCTCAACAGGAAGGGCCAGAGGGGCCCTCTCAGGGCACATCAAAACAACGGCCTGGGCTGTGCACTCTAAGACATTAGCGATTTAAGCCTCACCAGCCACCCAGCATGACTGAATTCACCCCACTTTACAGCTGAGGAAACCAAGGCTCTTGGAGTTCTTCTAGGTCACGTGACCCACGGGTGCAGGCAGAAAAGGCCAGCCTGCTGGACAGGTTGTGGCTGAGGCAAGAGGCCTGAGAAGACAGTTACACAGAGCACCCAACAAGGGCTGGGCAGGGAAATGCTCTGAGCAACACCTCCTCCAGGACCGGCGTTGCTCCCGGGACACAGGAGCCTGGAGGAAGAAGGGTACTCTGCCCACTCCCAGGCGTTACCATGGCAACCTGTGCATCCCTATCAGTGGTTCTGGTGGCACAGGTTTTGGGGGTGAGGGAGCTAGATTCAGAATCTAAGGGTCTTGGGCTGGTGATGTCCCTGGCTTGGGACACTGTTCTTCACCCAGAGCCTGAGAGCGAGAGCAGAGCTTTCTTAATGCTCTTCTCAGAGTATGAGAGACCAGGCATCAGTTCAGGCCTCTGTGAGGACCCACTTTCACACGGTAGTATCACTGTGTCCCGCAGCCATGTGGGGTGGGCCCAGGTCCCAGTGGGGCAGCCTGATCAGGAGGCAGCCCAGGGAACACCAGGTTCCTGTGCCTCAGGCAGCACCCTCGAAGCCCTCAGAGTCCTCCACAGCAGAGGGAGGGGGCTTACCCCTCTCTCCAGCAAACGTGACTCCAAGCCCAAGAGAGATCAGGGTCAAGGAACCCTCTAGAAAAAGGGAAAGAAGCCAGGCTGAATCCCAACCTTTAAGAGTACAAGAAAGTAAGAGGCACCCAGAGAAAACAGCCTTCTGTTCCCATCCTGCCCACACGGCCATATTGGCAGGGGCAACCTTTATAGCAACAATAAAGACAATGATCTAAGTGCCTACCAAAAGGGACAAGTTAGATAAACTAAGTAATGGAACAAGTTTTTTGGGTTTTTTTGTTTTGTTTTGTTTGTCTTTTTGAGACAGGGTCTCGCTATGCAGCTCAGGCTGGCCTTGAGCTCACTTTGTAGCCCAGGCTGGTCTTGAACTCACAAGGATCCTCCTGTCTCAGCCTCCCAAGTGCTGGGATTACAGGCACGCGCCACCACGCCCAGCTGGAACAAGTTTTTGAAAACAGGGGTGTTTGAGTTATGAAAGAGCTCTACAAAATGGAAATCCTAGCTAGCTCGGGAAAGGAGAACCGGGTGGCAGGAAAAATGGTGCGAGGCACAAATCTTACCATGTACCCTACCGACGGCCATAAGCCATCCGGCTGACACATTTTGGATCATGCGGCTGTCACTATTCAAAACGTATACATAAAAAATATTTTTAAATTAAAAAAAAACGAGTAAGATACTGCAAGATGTACTGACATGATGTTCTCCGATTTAACAAGGTACAGTGAAAAAACAAGTCACAGGACTGAGTCCATGGTATCTGACAGTCATTAGCATTTTGAGCCAAATGTTCCAATTTCCCCTTCTGGCCATATTAGAGAGTTGCATCATTTGTTCCCTTGATCTGGAAGAACCACGAATGAGGAGAGCTTCTAAAAAAGGGGATCATTGTTCAATATCCTGGGAGGATTGCTTCCTGGACTCCCTCCCCCCACCATGGATACTAAAGTCTACAGACACTCAAGTTCCCTACTAAAAATGGCATAATATTTGCATATAACCCACATATATCCTCCTGTATACTTTATTTTTTTGGGGGGGGGGCGGGGTTTGGTACCGGGAATCAAACTCACAACTTTGCACTTGCCAGGCAGGTGATGTGCCACTGAGCTATATCCCCGGCCCTCTCCTGTGTACTCTAAGTCACCTCCAGATTACTTACAATACCCAATACCATGTAAATGTATTAGACAATAATGACAAGAAAAAAGGTCTGCATATGTTCACGACATACAGATACAACTACTGTAGGCCTAACTTCACGATATGCATCAAAAACAAGGTAACTTTCTTTTTCCAAATATTTTCAATACCTCACTGAGTGAATCCTTGGCTCTGCAACCCATGGATATAGAGGACCAACGGCATTTAACTGCCAGGCCTGGATATTTAGGATTCATTTTCCCCTCTGCCCAGTGGCCAAGGATGCTCCTTCCACGTAGTGGGGGCTCTAACCCACCTGTGACGTGGGAGGAGGCCGGCCCACAAGGGACAGGTGGCACAAATGAGAAATAAATTTTTGTATCCTAGAGATTTGGGAGCTGTGTGTAACTCTGACCTACCCTGATGGATACGTGGCATCATTTTATTTGTGCACATAAATCTGGGCTTTGGCCCACACTGCTAATCTCATAGGGGGACTAGACTGAAAGATGGGGGCACCTTTTGCTTTTCACTTCTACGCCGGCAGGCTCTATTTGTCCCGCTTAGATACCTTTATGCAGAGGAAGCCAGAGTCCAAACTCACCTCATCGAGGAGACCTCGTCAATGCGGTTCCCCAGCTGCGACTCGTGCGACTTGCTCCGGGTGAGCGTGGGGAAGCTGGGCAGCAGCTGGAAGACCTTGCGGCTGGGCGGCGGGGGCGTCCGGGGCGGCTTCAGCTTGGCGTGGCGGCGCAGCTGGGGCGTGGCGGGAGGGGTGATGAAACTGTGCAGGGCGCGGGGGGTCAGCCGGCCACTGGCGTGCAGCGGGATACAGGTGTCCGAGAGGCCCTCACTGAGGCCGGGAGCCGGGGAGTCGGAGGCGGGCAGAGCTGACACGGAGACGGAGCGGGGGCCCTGGGCACTGCTGCCCACTCTGCCCAGCAAGGAGCTCCCTGGGGGCCAGGGCAGGGTGGCTGGTGACAGAGTGTCCACGGACGGCCCTGAGCCGCTTTCCCGACGCGCCTCGGAAGAGCTCCAGCCAGAGTCCTCTCTGTGTTCCCCTCCTGTGGGCCAAGGCCACATGTCACGGAAGGTTGGAACCAGCAGGGATTTGAAGGTGTGAGGGAAGTCCAGGGAGGTGAGCGCTGGTCTAAGGGGCGGCCTTCCTCAGCAGAGCCTCCACCCTCAGCCTTTGCACCTGGCATACAGGGCCTCTCTGCACCCAGGGTACCGTGCACATTGCCCGGCCGACTGAGGCCTTGAGCGCAGTTATGACTGTCCCCGCTGCACGGAGAGCAGACAAAGCCCAGAGTGGGGCTGGCTCAGGCGGGGCTCTTACTGTCATGCCTGGGAGCACAAGCTGGGGAAGGTACCCAACACAGTGGTAACCTCGGTCAGAAAGGAAATAGTGACTGAGCCTTGAGATCTAGGAAAGAGAAGCCGGGCCGTGTGAAGGAAGAGAAACTTCAGGGCAAGAAAATTCCAGGGCTGCGGTGTAACTCAGTGGGAGAGCACTGCCTAGCACGTGTGAGGCTTGGGTATATTACCCAGCACCACAACAAAGAAAAGGGGATTAATTCAGATGTCGGCAAAGCAGGCTGCCAGCCATCAGACAGACACTCCCTTCCCAGAGGAGCCTGAAGGTGACTCTTGGCTGCCCCCACCAACCCCCTGTCCTGGCCACTAAAATCTTGAGGCTCTGTGGGCTCAAACTCAACAACACAGCTGGTCCCCTCATTCAAACTTCCGCTAGATGCTGGGTGTAAAGGTCTGAAGAAGACCCACACCCTGAGCTTAGCCAGTCCAAGGAGTGGGAGTGACTGACACACAACAAAGTGTGCTGGGAGCTGTGACAACATGAGGACTGTGTGGAGAGGAGGGGGACCCACGCTCAGCCTGGGGGTGAGTGCAGAGCCAGGGGGCAAGAGAGAGAGGAAATTGTGTGGGAGGGCAGTGTGTAAAAAGCAAGAGAAGCCAGCACCTTCGGATAATGACTGAGTCCCTTGGGCCTCCAGACACTGGGAAGAGAAGCTGCCTCTCTCCTCTCATGGCCCTCGGAGCGTGACAGTGGAAGGAAGAACATGCGCCCTGGAGCCTTTTCGCTAGGTACTGCACAAGCGCCATCTCCCACGGCCTCGCCGCAGGGCTTCCCTCCTCCCCAGCGGCCGGGAGAGGTCGGGGACACTGCCCAAAGGCAGACGGCTACCAATGGGATGGGATGGAAATTGAACCCCTCAGTCTCAGCCACAGCACCGCGCCCCTTCTCTCCCACAGTGCTATGGATTTTGAATATGGAGGTAATGACATGTGCGAGGTCATTTGAGGTGGTCTGGCCTTGTCTGATCTCTGGGAGTAGAGGAGACTTCGCCTTCCCCATTTCTGAGGTTCCTCCGTGCATTCTACCCGCTCTGCCAACAACCCTCCTTCCACTTCACTTCATGCTGGCTTTCTATTCTGTTTCCTGTCAGCCAGGCCAGGCAAGTTAGCCTTGTCTGGCGCTGTGGCTCCTTTAGAACTGCAGCCACGACAACACCCCAGCTTAATATGCTGGCCTCCTAGAGGCACTGGATACGTTTCCTGCTGAGTGGATGACAAAACAGTTCCACAAATCTGTGGGCAAGCCTGCCAGCCAGGAAACAGGCTCCAAATTCTTCAAGTCGCCTAAATCACCACTGCTCTGGGTCAGCCTAGGGATGGCAAATGGGACCTGCTGTGCTACTGCAGTCACGGCAGCGGCTGTTTGACGCTGACTGTGGCGATGCTCAGAGAAGAGCTCTGGACTGATTACGGATGCCTGCTATGGAGAGAGGATGCGCAGTGTCAGTGAGAAGGGTCATTCTCTGTTCACCAGCACAGAGAACTGCCCATCACGCACCTGTCCAAAGACCAGAGGCCACAAGGGACACGACGTCAACACTTTCCATCACTCCACAGGCCTGGGACTCAAAAGAGCAGCACCTAAGCACGTCTCTCGAGCTTGTTTCATCTTTACAACTACCCTGACAGAGCGGCTGCTATGACCTCCATTTGACAGACAAGGAAACTGAGGCACAGAGAGCTTACGGAACTGGCCATGGTCCCATGGGTTCTAAGTGGCCACACAGATGTCCAGCTCCACAACCCACCTCCACTGGACTGGGCTGCAGTGAACAGCAAAGGAGGCCAGCTGATGTGTGACCCAGAGATCCCGGCTTGGGAGGTCAGCCTTTGCACTGCTGAGAACAAACCCATCACCCTGGAGTCCTAGGCTCAGCCCTGGCCCTGTCACCAACTGCTGTGTGTCCTCACCCAAACCCTCCCGCTTCCCTGGCTGGGCTCAGGATTCAGTCTCCCGTTCTGCAGGGACGGGAACGAGGGTCACGCCTTTGCCATTTATCTCCAGCACCTGCCAGGCTGCCTGCAGATCAAGATTTTACAAACTGGGTGAAATTCTCTACACAGTAGTGTGTGTTCAGAGGGCCTGGTACAAAGCAGTTAGGGAAAAATTAAACCCAATACTCTTTGGGGAGGAAAAAATCAAGGAGAACATAAACCTCACTGATTTCCTTAAGCCTCAGGCAGCTGCTTAAGACAGGCAGCCCAGATAATTAAAAAGGGACCTAATTCCATTCATTGGGCTCATTTTAATGCCTCATCTGTGTGGTAGACAGAGTGTTAAGTCAGGCATTTGAAGCTATTTCCAAGGCAAGATTTAGACAGCCTGTGAATAATTCCCAAGGTCCTCGTAATGCCAGGATTATACACTCAGTTGGAACAGCCACGTACATGCTCCCAGCTGAAAAACCGTGCAAGTTCTCTAATCAGGCTTGGCTCAGGCTAAGGCCACATCAGCGTGTGTTTCTGAGCGTAGAGCACAGCCTGCCACTGGGGCTGGGAGCAGGACGGGACACGGCTGGGGATAGACAGGCCACAGAAGGGAAAGGGGGAAGCCAGTGAAGGGCAGTTACAGGGTCAGCCAGCAGGGATTCTAACAATAGCTAATTCTAATTCCTGGGCCAGACCAAGTGGGATCCAGAGTCCTCCCTCATTACTGCCCAGGCCCATCACACAGTCTGTACATCTACCCCAGCCTTTCCAAGCCCCCGCCGTGGGAAACCCTGGGCCACACCTGCCATGGCCCATGGCCCACCTTGGCAGAGGATCACGCCTCGGAGACCAAGCCAGACCTGGGATTGAGGCACAGGCAGAGAGGCCTGGCGCAGGGGGAGGAAAGCAGGCCCTACCTACCCAGGCCTGTCACCTTCCGCAGGCAGGTAAGGGCTTGCTGGAGACGGCCACACTCCTCGGCACTGGCCCCACAGCGCTGCAGCGTCTCCTTCACCTTGGCCTCGTCCATCTCCAGCAGGGCATCCAGCTGATCCCCTGTGAGCTCTCGGAGGATCTCCTGAGGGGCACAGAAGGGACACACAGAGAGCTGGGTGAGCAGTCAGGCAGAGCCTAGTGCCACAGCATCCTCGGCCCGGCCCTCTCTGCTGAGTGGCAGGGGCCAGCTGCTGAGTGGTGGGCCAGCCTCCCCCACCAGAAGCCACCACTTGTTTGAAGACACAGGCACCTTCCCCGCCCTCGGCGCTCCCCGCAGACAGCAGCTGAAGGGAGACGCCAACTCTGGGGTAGGTTCGGGGAAGGAAAGAAGAAAACACACGAAAGCCTGGCATGAGGGAGTTTCTTTTTATTCCTCTGCCCAGGAGTTAGGAATGATAGTTACTGTTTCCCATGACAAACACTTCAAAGATGGCCCTTTTACAACTGTCCTACCTGAATCAGACAGAGATTTCAAATACAACTGGCCCAAAAAAAGGATTTTAAAAAAATATACCCACCAGTTACCACAGAGGTACTTACTAACTTGTTTATTTAACTCATTCGAAACCAGTCACCTGCAGGGAGTGGTGGCACATGCCTGTAATCCTAGCACTTAGGAGGCTGAGGCAGGAAAATCACCGTAAGTTCAAGGCCAGCCTGAATCACATAGTGAGATGTCTCAAAAGACTAAAAACAAAAACAAAACCTATAATCACCCAGCCCACATTACACTCAAAGAAGGGGACCAGACAGGCCATGTCACCTAGTAGGACGGGAAGAGACTGGAAGAATTTTAAGGTGATCTATGACTTTCATCCCATGCGCTATTCTCAATGACATTATATCACACAGCAACAAGGAACTGGGCCAAGTAGGCTTACAAGAGCCCTTCAAACACAAAAGATTTTCTCTGGGTGGCAGCAGAGTTAAATGTAAAAAGAACTTAAGGACTTTTTGGAGACAGAGAAGGCAACCTGAGAAGGAACGCAGGTGGCCTCTTCAACAAAGGGTGACAACAGCTGACAGCCAGCAAGGAAGTGGGGGATCCTCAGGTCTAAAGCCATAATGGGGCACTGAGAATGACACGCCCAAGATGAGGCATTTGAGAGCATATTGAGCAATGTGATCTAAACTTTGGAAATTAAAGACCTTTAAAAGCAGGCTTAGCATCCAGTTCCCTCTCACCTTGTGTGCTCTCTCCCTCCAAGCGCAGGGAGAGGCTCTCTCAGGAAGTCTCTTATCTGCATTAAGATCGGAATGCAGCCTGAGCATGGTGGCACAAGCCTGTGATCCCAGCACACGGGATACTGAGGCAGGAGGACTGCAAGTTCAAGTCCTGCCTAGGCAACTGAGCAAGACCCATTTCAAACTTTTTTTTAAAATAAGATAAAAAGGGTTGGGGATGCAGCTCAATGGTAGAGCATCCCTGGGGTTTGATCCCCAGTTCCAAAGTAGGGAGAAAAAAAAAAATCAAACTGCAATAGGGGGCACTGCTGCCTTTCTCATCTGAAATCTCAGTATCTATCTCAGAAAAGATGGCTAGGGACTGTCACCACACCTGCATGGCTTTCCACTGTCTATCCCTTGGCTCACCTAAACTCCAAGAGAATCAAAAGCTACTTTTGTCTCTGGGACCATTCATTCCTTAATTATCTCCTAGGGCCTCTACATTCCCATGCCCCCCTCCCCCTACAGAAAATGGTATATAAGCCTGGAAAATGTCTTGGACTGATGGGGAGCACAGTATGTGATTCTGTCTCTGCACATAGTGGTAAGTTTGTGTGTCTTTTTTCCTATTTAATCTGTCTTTTTCAGTTTATTTCAAGGGATCATCAAAGGACACATAGGAAACTTCCTTTCACCCCTAAAGCCAGAGGAACTGGATTCCTAGAACTCGGAAGTGTTCTCTTCTCCCAAAGCTTACAGACAACACGCCTGCCTGGCCGATGCCTTATTTGGCCTTTTAAAATCCTAAGCAAGGAAGGTAGCAGAACCTTCACTGTCCACCCACTGAGCTGTGAGCTAACACATGAGAGAGGCTTTAGGTTGCTAAACATGTTACGCAGCAATAGAAAAGTAATACAGAGAATGAATATTTGAATCAAGCCTAAGTGACTTCAAAGCTTAGGCTTTTCTGAGAAGGAGGTACACACAGCTGACTCAAAAAATGGGGCCACGTCCCTTGCCTCCAAGGTGTGTGTATAGGAAGCGGGTGTCAACATCAACGAGAAATTACAAGCACGGGAAAAGCGGAGAGCCAAGAGGTGCACGACCAGATTAGGTTGTTTTTCTTTAGCCCTTTCTGTATCTCCCAGATTTACTCTAACGGTCCTACGAAGTTTACAGTTCTTGAGAACCTGATTTTCAATCCTATTTTCCCCCAGCAAGTTGTGTCTAGTTTTACTTTAAAAAAACAACATTAAACTTGGAAAAAATTTTAGCTGATTGTCCCTCAGACAAAGGGCTTCTATCTAGAACATATAAAGAATTAAAAAATTTCAGCCCCTCCAAATTCAAAGACCCAATCCAAAAATGGGCAGCTGAGATGAACACACATTTCTCAGACAAGGAGATACAAACGGCAAATAAATATATGAGAAAATGTTCAACATCATTAGTCATTCGAGAAATGCAAATTAAAACAACACTAAGATTCCACCTTACCCCAGTAAGAATGGCTAGCATTAAGAAATCAACCAATAACAAATGCTGGCGAGGCTGTGGAGAAATAGGAACCCTTCTCCACTGCTGGTGGGAATGCAGACTGGTGAAACCACTGTGGAAATCAGTTTGGAGATTCCTCCGAAAACTAGGTTTAGAGGTCCCATTCAACCCAGCTATCCCCCTGCTGGGTATTTTCCCAGAAGATCTAAAAACATCATATCACAGTGATATATGTGCACCTATGTTCATAGCAGCACAATTTGTAATTGCTAAAATGTGGAAGCAACCCAAATGTCCATCCACCGAGGATTGGATAAGAAAATTATGGTACTTTTATATAATGGAATATTACTCAGCTGTAAAGAAAGATAAACTCGAGGCCTTTATATTTAAATGGTCACAACTAGAGACCATACTCATAAGTGAAATAAATCAAATATACATGTGCAAGCACCGCATTGTGTCACTAGTGTAAAACTTGAAAGAGTTAAGTTAAACTCGGAGGTATGATAGACACTGTGAAATGATAGGAAACCACCGAAGAGTAAAGGGCTTCTGGGATGTGGGAAAAGAGAAGGGAAAGAAGGAGAAATTTTGTATGTATGTATATACAGGATAGATAACATGGTTGTTCTTCTATCTGCTGTTTCTATGCTGAAAGAAACTGTCAATGAGTCTTTGGTTGACCAGTATTGCATGTCTATATCTGTTTTCATGAGAAGCCACTTTGAAGATATCAATATGTAATACAACCACCATTGTTAATTCCCTACCACTTTGTTTGGAACTCTGTATTGTCTGTATTGTGCTTGTGATATGTTGTAAAATGTTGTATGTCTGTTAATGTTTCCCTCCTTTTATCCTTAAAATAAAAAAAAAACAACAACAACAACAAAAAAAAAAACATTAATGTCAGTGCCTTCACAACGCTGTAAATCTTAGACTCAAGTCTCAAAACTGAACCTGACGGGGAGATTGGCCAGGCTCTGAGGACAACGATGGAGAGCCCTCTCCCAGCCCCTCACTCTATGGTGTCTTGGCCCCTCCGTGCCTCGCCAGTGTATTTTCGTCCCTCCAGGGATGTGGGTAAGATTCTCTTGTTGTTTAGGACCATTTAATCAAAAGGAGAAACAGATGCACAGTAGCACCAAGAAGCTCAGCATTGGTCAGACACATCTTTGGTTGTCAGAATTCTCTCCAGATGATAAAGACGAAAACAGGAAACCGCTGATAAGGACAGCACAGACGGGAGAGGCTGATTAAACAATGACCCCACACGTGCCTGTCTTTCTTTCCCTCAGCCACTCTGCACTGCAATCCACCCCTCTCTATTACACGAGGGAACTGCTGGGGCGGAACGGAAGCGACCTTCACTTTGTAACACATTTGCTCCAAGCAGGTCCCCGCCGTGTGCAGAATGGAGTGCCCCTCGTTCATCCCCCACAAACACCCACACGGGGGCACACACCCAGCAGATGCAGACGCAGACGCAGGCACACTTTTCCAGGCTGGCTGTGATAACTCAGCTGTACGCTAGAAGATGAGATCCGTTTGATGGTGGCGGAGAGGGACCCAATCCCCAATCTAATAAGTTCATGCAAATGGGGTTTCTTTTTCCCTTCCTTTTTATCCCCCATCTCCCCACCCACTCCGAGTTTCAATTTCTCAAACAAATACCTCCATTCATTATTATAAGCTCCTTGCCGGCAAATATACCCAGCGCTTGTGTACCTGATCTCCACGCTAAGCAACTCAGCAAGATGTTGTTCCGTCTGCTTGGCTGAGGTTCTGAGACCTCATGTGAGTTAATAAAAACAGCTGGGCCAGAATGAAGCCCAGATGTGCCAGACTCCACAGCTCCCTCAATGACCCCACGCTGTCACTTGTTCACCCGGAAAAGCCTGAGAATTTAGAGGCTACCTTTTTGTGGGTGAAGGGAGTTATTGTTCTAAAGTAAACTGAAGTTCTACCTACCTTCTGAATAAAACTACACTGTAAAATGGAATGGCCTCGAACTCACGGTGATCCTCCTGCCTCAGGCTCCCAAGTGCTGGTATTACAAGCATGTGCCACCACACCTGGGTCAATGACTTCTAAAGCTACAGGCTTCTAAAGCTATAGGCAAATAAGGAGGGATACCTCCTGGCAGCAAAGACTCTGGGAGGCCAGGCCTTCTCAACAAGTCACCCACCCTGGATACCAGGCATCCAGACTATCTTAGGGCTCAAAGTTAACCAAGGGAAGAAAGTGCATGAGAGGGCCAGGGATATAGCTCAGCGGCACAGCACCTTGCTTGGCAAGCGCAACGTCCTGAGTTCGATTCCTGGTACCAAGAAAAGAAAGTGCGTAAGACAGTTACGCTTGACCCCAGGCACTGGTATAGGAAGAAAAACATCTCCTAACAGCCCTGGCCTCCAG